GAAATTTTGCTCACCTGCGGGCCCCAAACTCGGTTCATTGTTGTTGTACCCCCCACCGTGAAATTCTGCCTACCTCCTTGCGTCAAGGCGTTGGTCCGTTTGATTCGCCTGAGCACCTTTTTCATAATAAACAACTTTGTCGTTTAACATATTAATGGAATATCCGCATTTTGGCACATTGCGGTGCTGCCGAAAATACGCCGTTTAAATCATTTGCAAGCAAATTTCTAAACGCCATAGCACACCATAACACCCGTGCAATTGCACATTTCTTTAATGAAACCTATGTGAAGCCGCATTTATCGCCTGCCAGAATATCGGCCTGAAAGAACGGGCGTCGGCGGCGACGGGACCCGGCCGGTCCGTCCGTGCTGAGAATGACACTGTTCAGGTAATGCTCGTCCGGTCTGCACACTGTTCAGGTAATACTCGTCCGTCTGCACACTGTTCAGGTAATGCTCGTCCGTCTGCACACTGTTCGGGTAATACTCGTCCGGTACACACTGTTCAGGTAATACTCGTCCGGTCTGCACTGTTCGGAGTAATACTCGTCGGCCTGCACACTGTTCGGCTAATACTCGTCCGGTCTGCACACTGTTCGGATATCGTCGTCCACACACTGTTGGTAATACTCGTCCGTTCTGCACACTGTTCGGTTAATACTCGTCCGGTCTACACACTGTTCAGGTAATACTCGTCCGGTCTGCACAATGTTCGGATAATACTGGTCCGGCCTGCGCACTGTTCGGCTAATACTCGTTCGGTCTGCACACTGTTCAGGTAATACTCGTCCGGCTGCTCAGTGTTCAGATAATGCTGGTCCGGTTTGCAGCCTCGCCTGTAAACAGGAAGTCACCTCATGCAGCTGACATAGTGCGGACATCATGTGCAGCAAAACGACCAGTTCACTGAGGATATCACAAAATGTTGCACAGCAGTTGATCTTTCCTGGTAGAAAACAGGGAACATTTTGTCAGCGTGCACGCCGCGCCCATCCACATGCCCCGCTACCTGGGCTTCACCAGCTCCTTGCCACCGCATCCGCATCCTTTACCTATCGCGATGGAGCAGCCGCGACTGCCAGCCGCTTGATTCAGACCAGCGTGGATTCTGGCCCGTCACTACGGGCAGCGAAGCCGCCAATTATGCAGCCATTCGGCGCGCCCTCCCGAGCTTCCCGGACAAGCCGGCCCGGTTACAGTGTAGCACGGCGGCGCCGCAGACGATCACAGACGATCGGGAGGATCGCGTGCTGCCGCCCACAGCGAGAGTGCGACCGACCGCTGCCGGCCCGGCGTCTGGGCCGGGCGGGGAGGGGCGAGGTCTGTGCGGCACCGCCCGAGGCGCGCGATGCGCCTGGGGAGGAGGGCACGGTGCGTCACGGGAGCTCTCTGAATCGGCTCTGGTTACTCCAGCTGGTCAGTCGGGAAATTCGACAAGGGCAGAGCAGGCGCCGCATTAGCCATTGAGCGTGACGGCCTGCGATGCTAATTCGCCCCTGATTGGACGAGGATGGAGGTCTAGCTGTTCCACGAAACTCCAGAATCATTGCCAACCTGTTGGCTTGGCGTAACCCTACGGCAGAGCCTACGTAGTCCACCGTTCTCGCTCCCCAGTCTGACAGCCCACCCTCTCCACAGTCTCACTCGTGACCCGCTCCACAGTCTGACCGGCAGCCTGACCCCTGACCCGCTCGCCGGCCTGCGTGGTGACCCGCTCCCGCGCCCGGCGACGAAGCTAGACGGCCGGTCTCCGAGGGCGGCAGGCCTCGGCCGCCGCCGCAGGGCACGTTCCTGCCATGCAATTGCAGCCGTCCCCACACACAGAGCGAGAAACGCCTGACGGGCCGGCCACACGCCAGCCGGCCGGTCACGTGACCGCGGCGGCGGCGGCGGCGGCGGCGGCGGCTCCGCAGTCGGGCCGTGTCGGCGCGCTCGGCATGTATAAGAGGCCGGGGCGCGCGCCTGTTGAGGTCACACTAGCCCCGACCCGTCCCATGGCAGCCGCCCGCTCTCCTGCCCTGCCGCTGCTGCTGCTGGTGGCGCTCTTCCCGGCGGCTCGCTGCATGCCGATTGACAACGCCCTGGACGGTAAGAAGTCGCCCTGGGTGCCCCCTGGGAACTTGGGCTCCATCGTGTGGGACGCCGGGAAGGAGAGTGCTTTAGGATTTCGAGCTGTGCGCGTAACTGACTCATGTTTTGATCACGAGTTTGCTTAAGTCCCTGGTGCATAGCTGCGCTTCATGGATTCGTCTCCTGGTTATAGACTCAGCGGTGTCCTTTCTTGCACTGAGTTCGTGTATATGCTCGTACAACTGGACACCTGGGTTAAAGGTTCATAGTCTATCCATTCCTGTTAGGTACTCCAAAGGCACGGCCAGGTACATCCCCAGTAATAAGACTTCATATAAGAAAGACAGTCTTGAGCTCCTGGGTTTTCAGCATTCCGAGTTCACAGATTTTTCAACCCTGTTCACTTGTGACCTTAAACATACCTGGAAACGTCAAGCATTGATAACATAACCAATGCTTGCTTGACAACTTCGTTTCATCAGCACTTTTCAGTATGTTGAAGTCCGATAACTGTCCATAAGGTCTCTGAACTTATAATGTCCAGTAAAAAGCATGACGCTAAATGCTCCGCTTGTTACGATGCATACACAATCGACAGTGTTAGCGACATCAGTGAGTGTGTATCATCAGCATCAGTGACATCTGTAAGTGGTTGGTTTCATGCCTGTTAAGCTGCTCTTATCTGCCTGCATCGGTCCCGTTTGCCGAGCGGGCGGTTTGGCAGCGGCTGCGCCGTTCTATCCGACGATTGCGTGCTAGCCGTCGTTTTAATTCTTGAACCTGTTATCGTGTAACTGACCGCACGCTTGCGTGGCAAGACCGAAGCCATCTAAAATAGATGCTTGGAGCTTTGAGCTCCCAGCCCGCCAACAACGGATGCCAAATTGGTATCGTAAATTGTATTTTTGTTCACCTCGAGTAGTCCATGCAGGCGAATTCACAACGGCTCAGATAAATCAAGGTCAAAGGCAAACCGTCACACAGCAGCCGCGTTCACTAGATTCGCGATTCGGGTTCGCGTCCCAACAGTCGCGTTTACTCGATTTGACCCACAGCGTTTAGCTGGCAACTGGCCAAAGCAGTCAGGGTGCAATAGGGTGCAATATGCTGAGATTACAAGGCACGGCAAAATCGCACGCCATCCGTGAGACGGCATGATCGAACTCTTCGCAACAGTCTGCGCTTACAAAGACTGATTGCAAAACCATTCCTTACGCTATGAGCCATTTTTGATTGTCAAATGATTGCATTATTTACCTTCACTGCAAAGCTGGATTGCTGCCAAATGTCTCCTGTCCCCAGGCAAAGTCCTCTCCTGTGTCCTGGCACGCCCCCTACTTCTTACGCATCCAGCTGCTGATATCCCGTTCAGGGTGAATCGCTCCTGTGGTATGCCATCACCTCCCAAACATAACAACTCAAGCAGCGCTAAACCGGCTGAGCGTTCACGGCGATGTCGCCTCACGGTCCACGCCAGTGGGCTTAGCCCGGCGCGCGAGCCTGTGTCGAACGCTGACGCCACGCGACGTCGGTGCCGATCACGTGCCGCCCCGTTCTGCGGCGGCTCGTGTGGCCGGTACTGCGCGTTAATCGCCGCGTGGGGTGCGGGCAGCGGCGGCTGACTCAGCCCGGTGAGCGCAGCTTCGACGCTCCGCTATCGGCGGGGTGACGCGTGCCGAGTCCGGGAAGACCGATGTCGAGCCGCGGGGTCTCCGCAGTGACCGTCCCGCCCGCAGGAACCGGGAACCCCCCGGTGTCCAGGGTACCAGCGGGGCGCAGAGGGAGGGGATGACGAGTGGGGATCAGAGCGCCAAATTGGCATGATCGTCGCTGCCGAAAAGCATGTCACGCAAGGGTCCAAGCAAAGCATCGATGGGTGAAAGGGAGGGGCGCGATAACGTTGATGTGCTTTATTTATCCCGTACAGTCATGACATTGCACTTGGTACTCACGAATAGGGGCCGAGGGGTCCACGCTCCACGAATTTGCCCCTCCCCTTCCCCACTGGCAAGCTCCTGTCCGACCCTTTGTATGGTCGTCCATTGAAAAGCTTTGGTGTTCGGTGCACCTTGCATTCAGCACAGCTGGACGCACGTCCTCTTTACACAGCGGGTTCGGGGAATCCGTTTCCGTGAGCAGATCGCGTGTTTGGTAGCACTAGCAGTGGTTTGATGCCGTCGACGTATGGCAGGGGGTCCTTACTGGAGGTATGGGGCGTTTGGTACGTGCATCACCTATAGTTCCAAGGGCCGTCGTCGCCGCCTTGTATGGCATCCACCCTGCCCATCCTCCAACATTTGCTTATCTCCGTGTTGATTGTGAGAGGTCTGCCCACTTTACTTGTCCCGCTCATGACTGGCCCCTACCCTCGACCCCTGCGGCCTCTGACCCGCGGCCGCACCCCCAGCAGGGGTGTCCCTACTGACCCATCCACTCCCCTTCCGCACGGGCATTACCTCAGCCTGCTTATAACTGGTTCCGGCGACTTAAGTCGCCTGTCCTGGTCGGTACCGTGACCTCAACGGCCGTCAGACAGCCTCCCCCAATAGTCCCGCTCCTCCCCGCTTTCCTGAAGGCGACATGTCCGCGGAGGATGGATAGCATCCGACGCCGCTGTTGACAGCGGGACCGCTAACGGGGCGGCAGTCAAAGGTCGGCAGCGGCAGACACGTGCATGTCACACTGGCAAAGAGGGCACGGGCGTTCGGAATATCTATGGAGCTGATTATGCTGTCTGGAGGCTGCGGCGCTTATTTGGAGGTTGGCTGTTTGCTCGATTATACGACCCACGCGATACGTGATGTCAGGGACGACTTTGTAGAGAGCCGCAACCCATTTTGAGAAAGCTGACGCGGAGGTGAAATTGCTCGCCGCTTCGGCGCACTGCATTCCCGTTCACGTGTGCACGCGTGTTCTCAGCGCCACGTGCATGGAACACGTGTGTATGGCTCACCCGCCACCCGTCTCACCCGTCAGTCTCACCGTGTCCTCTGTCCGGCAGACGAGGTCCTGTTCTCGAAGCTGCAGGCCTGCTTCACGGCCAGCGGGATGGCGCAGCTGGACTCGCCGCTCGAGCAGCTGGCCGACAAGCTGCCGAGCTTGTCCCGCAGGAGGGACATTCTGCAGGTAGGCTGCTCACCCGGCGGCACGGGCGGGCACCGGGAGGCAGCCCGCGCCGCCCGCCGATACCGGACACGGCGTGGGGCGCGACGGCGGCGGCACCCTGATCTGGATGACTTTGAAATGAGCTCCGTACGATGGCGAGCCCTGCATCCCATTGCACAGAATGAATTGGGTAAAGCCGCTATCCATCCCCACCCTGTCACCTTGGGCGCCGAAGCATCACTTTGCCAGCGCTTGAAGGCTATCGGTTTCGGCGTCATATTCTGTGGTTGTCAGATGCCGTCCCAGGGGTGGGGTCAAAAGGCAGTAATACTGTGAATGGAGATCATCAACTGATATGCCAGCAAGTAAAAATAACGTTCCTGCTCGATTTCTGAAAGGCCCTAGGAAGCGTCTGGCAGAAATTGCTTCCAACTTCTGCGTTCCGTTAGAACGGTCTCACCACTGCCAAGTGCGTGATCGTACGTTAGTCATACGGCTGTACGTTACAAAACGAGATCCAGACAGGCGACCAGAGGCTAGTGACATGTGGTGACAAAACATGGCGCATACGTATGCAGTGGGCGCATTCTGCAATAATATTGTCTTTTTGTGTACATTCTTGGACGTTGACGACATGCACGCAATTTTTACAATTGTAGCAGCACCATATACCCAGGCATACAAATGTTACGTTTGTCTCCATATAATATCGACATTATAACGTGGGGCACATTCCGTATGTAAAAATGCATGAGTGTCATGTGCTATGTTCATCATTACATCTAATTTAGGGCATTGTTTATTTGTCAGCACATCTCACCGTTCACTTTGCAGATGGCCAGAAAATTCACGTGATGCATTATCGTAAAGTTATTTGCCGGTAACGGTCGCACACACACTTTTCAATTAGCTATATTATACAATTACTATATACAATTATGATAGCTATACAATTAGTTAAGCTATATTCAGCGCAATTACCTCCTGTGCATAGTCGCCAGGGTACACTTCGGTGGACTGCTCTTGGATATGCTAAGTCCTTGACTGTCGCCGTCTAGTCATTAGCCTGGAGATCCAGCTGAGTACATGTAGCTGGGTTGCCCCATCAACTGCGCCGTGCTTCATTCAGTGCCTGGTACAGCACAGGTGGATCTAGCCTGGGCGCCGACGGTGGAATGCGCTAAGCCCGCTTATTGGTGTCAAGGGCATTTCACCAGATTCCGAAGCCCGAAGCCTTTCCGACGTGTTTTGTCTGAGAAGGACGTATCGCATGCAGTTCAGACCATCTATGAGCTGTTAATCAGGTCTTAATGGGCCGATTTAGGTAGCTTACGACGGCAAATAAGCATAGAGAAGGGGATCCGGGAGGGAGGGGGAGGAGGGGATTTAAGTTTGAATCGCCCTTACGGTGCTGCACAACAGGTCTAAGCAGTGTTTTTGACAAGTCATCCTTCGCATGTTATCATGCAGAAAAGTAAGAAGAGGAAGCGAAGGGAGAGAGGAGTGGGGAGGGCACTGAAGGAGATAAATGCTTGCTTCCTTGGCACGGCTTCACGCACCGTTGGATGTGAAGATAAGTTGCAATTCACTGGTCCACAAGAGGAGTGAGGGCTCGGCGCCGGATGGGGGCTTTAATTCTGCGTGCCCATCTGCAGGGTTTCCTGGACTGTTGCTCCAAGCAGGACTTCCCCGGCATGGAGACGCTGGAGGCCAACAAGCAGGACAGCGAGGAGCTGTCGCAACAGCTGAAGTGCTGCAGCAGAAGATCCAGACCATCTACAAGAACTACCTGATGGGCACGAGCGTGGGCCTCAGCATGCTCGGCTCGTAGACCGGCCCTGTGACCCGGCGTGCCGAGAGCTCGCCAGACCCGGGCTAGGGCCGGTGGAAATCCGGCCAGATCGAGTGGTCGCCGGCCCGCCCCGGAGACGGCCCGTCCGGGGCGTGACGTCACTGGGGCTGCACGCGCGCGGCGCCGGGACACGGAGGCGGAGAGCCTCGCCGCCCGGCCGCCAAGGCTGCTGGCCGTCGCGCCGTTCGCTGAGGGTGTGCGTCCCGAGGAATCGCGCCGACCACGGGGTCGCCCTGACCTTGGAAATGCCCGAGGTGTAAGGAGGGCAAGCTCGCCTCCAGCTAGACAGCGAATGGGCTGGTACTCACACCGCATCGCTGGGCTCTGTGTAGCGTCAGCTAACTATCAGTATTTATAACTTTTTGCAGGTGGCAAATGTGCACTACACAGGCAGTGGAGGTGTGTTCATTGTCCGCGTTGTACATAATGTACATATCTAGACATGCCAGTTAGATCGGCTGGGAGACAAGTGTGCAGATAGAGACGTGACGCTCGTTTCGAACGAGCCGCATTGCGGCACGTGGATGTGCTTATTGCAATGTCTATGCCAACAAAGAAAATATATTAATACATGTTGCTTTGTGTGTTGCGTGCTTCCCATTGCATTCTGGTCCACGGGCACAACAAGGCGTGCCTCATTTGCTACACATGTGCAAGAAGTTTGCGGTTGGGTTTTCTAGGCCCGGACAAACACCGCAGTGTTATGCTGAGCGTCCACCTCATCCTAAGGAAGCCGCAGTAGGCAGCTTCGACTTGGATTATTAATAGATGCCGGCGGTTGTGGTCTCTGACGCGAGCGCTCACGCGGTAGTCACGCCGGGTCTCGAAATTCCTCTAACGACAGACGGATTTGAACCTGCATGCCATTGCCCCCAGATCGTCAGCAGCTGGCAAATGAATCGGTCACCGCTGGTCTGCTGACGGGTCGCGGTTGTTGGTAGTTTAAGTTAGCTGATATGGCAAACCCGACAATGATAGGCGTCAGATTCACATCAATTCACATGACGTCTCGGAGCATCCGCTCGCGTGGCTATTGTCGCTCCAGTGAGCTTTGACTCTCAGCGTCGTGTTAACAACCACTGACAAGCAGTCGGGACACTTCCGGGGACCACCCCACGTGTCGTCACTCGTAGAGCTAGCACCCTAACTGTAAACATATGCCGTACACCTCACCCGTCCAGTGACGTCAGACGCCAAGCACCGCCAACATTTCACACCCGTGCCAAGAGAATGTCGTAAGAGCACGTGACCGACGTCGACACGACTGATGACGTCTGTTTTGTGCGTGCTCCGCCCTTCAAACCATTTTAAAATTCTAGGGTAAGAAGATCGAATCAAGCAACAAGAAATTAGAGAGCAGGCCGTACCTACCTTCGGTTAAATCTTGTACTTCTTGTAGGCGGAAACTTATCGGTCATTTCGGGATGCATCTGCAGTACAAAATTAAATGAAATGAAACTAAATTTTGTGGCGTTGTGTAGGAAGAAATGACTGCTTCAATCTCATTTACGGTCATAGCCAGACTTCTTATCTCTCCATAACGACACATCAACGTCAATACTAAAAGCGTTGAAGAGGAGGCTGAGGAAAAGTTCTGTGGGCCCCTTCCCCTCACGTATGGGTTTCGGCACCAAATAGTTCCAACCCAAACCGAAGCAACTAGGAAACAAAGTTCCGCCTTTATTTAGACCCTAGCATTGCTAGCATTTCATGCAAGGTCCAGCCACTGATGTTAATCCTTAAGTGTTGCAGGAAAATAAGTAATTTAAAAAACACCGTTTGCCCTTTTCCTGCCACCAACCCGATTTTATTGAACCACCGCCACTGCTGAATGAATAATGCTCATTTTCTCCTCAAACCGCATGAAACGCTTTCGTATAGCTCTTTCATTGTCCCCCGAGCTACAGCTACCCACAGAAAAGGACTGATAGAAATAGGACGGCATGATCAGCGCGAACGCGTTTCCTAAATTATTGTCAGTAAACCGCTAAGTTCGCACAGAACAAGTAGTTTTGAGCATTATCAAGATCCTACAAATGATGTTGATCCTTACATCATCCGTTCTCCAAGATGAACAAAAGGATTTGCCACTGTAGTCAGTGCCATCGGCCGCCTCCTGCCATGGGTGTCTCTGTTGGCGGCAACCGTCCTCAGCCAATGGTTACTGGGGAGTTTGTAGGGGCGTGGATAGAGGTAAGTACATCGCCCAGGAGATGGGCCATCCGAAAAGCCTCAGCGTATGTGGCGTGAAGCTCTGATGTGAAAGCTGGAAGGCTGTCTGCCGCCTGTAGCATGTACAGATGGGGCGTGGGTAGACACCAGGGAACTCTGGGATGTTAGACAGCCAAACCGTGTGCAGACGCGGGCCATCCGCATACACGGGGCGTGCTGACGCAGACAGACATGCAGCGGAGTCAAGTCGGTGCGCTCGATTCTCATCTGTGGCTTCACGATTATTCTAGAAATTTAGACGATGCAATCTGCAAAGGTATAAAATGACTTGACTGAATGATTTTCTAAGCAAAATGATAGTCGATCGCATGGCTCATTCTTGTGAAACAGAGAGCCCCTAAGCCTGTTTCACAACGCTGTCTGACTTATTGATGAAACAATCATCTACCAGACAGAGAGAGCCAGACAGTTGACAGAAGCGGTCAGTTAGTTATTGAGTTTTAAGGGCTCGTCAATTGCATTGATTTTTTGCGAGACAGAGAAGGTCCTTCTTCACATACCGGAAAATGTCAGTTTTATGTTGAGTTATCAGCCGTCACGGTGCTGACAAACGACATTATAGTCAAATATGATCCACGCTTTAAACATCCAACGTTTCAAGGTGTGCTTACGGTCACAAGCGGATAAAAAACATGAACAGCGGAAACAACTCAGCAGTCATAATGCAAAAATCAGTGAATAAAAGCCCTGATGCATATAGGAAGCTTTCATATGAGAAAGATTCTATGACCCAGTCAAATATGTTGCTTTCAATGCAACATGCTAGTAATTGTAAATCACGGCTAAAAAATTATTTTTGAAATCCGTTATGCGTTCTTTTAGAGAATGTTCAACTTAACAGCTGTCTCCTTAGTTGACCTTCTTCTGACTTCAGACTTCTTCGGAGGCGATATTCACTCGTGCTTCTGGCGAATGCAGTTGCGAAAGCAAATAATGTTCAAAAATTTGTTTATTTAGTCAGCTGGAGAAGCGAGCTAAAACCTACAAATAGCGGAGTCAATCTTGCAGGAAATCGTTAAGTATTAGATCTGGCTACTTTAGCCAACCAGTGACCTTTTCGGGCCCGCTGACCTTAACACCTGTCAAAATGGAACAGAACACTGTACTTTGTTGCAGTACAAACGGCGCTTCCGTAGTCGAATAAACACTGTCTCGCCTTTGGGGTCCAATTCGATGGGGGACCTACGCCTGGAAACCATGGGCGTACGCAGCGTGAGGGGAAGCATGGGGGCGTGCTTCTCTGGTCAAATGTGGGACCCCGCTCGTGAGCGGTAGCCATGACAAAAATAGCGCCTGCAGGGCGACAGCTTCCATATTTTTTACAGCCCTCCAAAGAGTACCACCAGGGCCCCAGCAAAATAGTGATGAAAAATTTGTCAATGCCCAACGAGTGCTCCTGTCATTCTGTCCTGTTGAGATTGGATCTCCTGTCGCGATAACTCCGCTTTCGCGTACTCCTGCTGGAACAAAGTCATGGAAGTATTTGCATAGGCCATTGCCCCTAATTGGACATTGAAGAGTAATATGTCTATTTGATAACACCGGTGGCTTGATGAGTGCCGCACAGTCTATGCACGACTATATCACGTTTGAAGACCGATGGCTGGAAATGGTAAACTTCGTCTCTTCTACCTCTTCTACCTTCGCAAAATTTTCTCCACAAGTCTGTCAAAATCATAACTGAGCCCACCGACGTGGGATACAGCGGGGCTTCATTTCGCTGGCGCCCTGTTAATATCGAAACTGTCGTATCTTCTATACCTTCCTCCGTCCTTTAACACTACACATGGGCTTGTCAATCCCATGGCGCTGACTCTTGCCCAGCTGTTGTGAAGAAACGCTTTTACGGAATATGAGGAGCATGTCGGTTGAATAAAGGTTCCAGCCGAACACTCGTGGCTCGTTAAATTTATTATTTTATATCCAAACCTCATAAATTGTCTAAATCATCACAGGCACAAGCATACACATGACATATTTTTACCCAGTCCCTTTTCTAACACTTGCGTCCCAGTTCACTACCAATATTCTGTGACATTATGTCTTAAACTTGTGCTCTCCGTCCCGAATTACGAGCGTGACTTGAACATGACCTCTGTGTCATCAGTCAGACTTAAATATATGAACAAGAGCTAGGTCTTTCACCCCGGGTATGCCGTACACTCAGGGGCGTAATTCGCTTCAAACTGATTGGGGGGTTGGGTATAAATTTGAGCGGTGAAAAATGATGAAACCTGCTCCTAAAGTCCGTCAGTAAACGGAGTTTACGCCGGATTTGGTCCATTTTGTTCCCAAATTTGGGGGCTTGTACAGCTGTGTATTTTCGAGGGGAGGGGGAGAGGCTGAAATACCACCCTCTCCACTTAATAGGAGACTGCACCTCTGTTTAAAGTCACTGCGAGTGATCCATAGTTATACTCACGGCACCGCGGGGGTGTTAACCGACCGCAGCCATCTGTCAGCGTTTACAGCTCCCTCGTTACGTGTCCCGACATAGGATTCAGAGACATTCGGGCGGCAAACAATGACGCTGGTGTGTTCAACCACGCACTTTGTTGACATTTCTCTCGTGCTTGATGACATCACGAGGCCTGTAAGATACCAAAAATCCTAAAAATCGGCTAACGGCTATAGGGCTATGCAGCAGTGAACATGACGGTGTTGAAGCTTGCCAGGCAGTGAAAGACTCGGCTCTTCACATTTTTTTCTGCGCTCCAAGAAGGATCTTTTGGCCTACTTGCTCACTCAAAACAAGACAAACGCTTGAAGGAAGCGCATACAGTAACATTATTGCAAACAACGTTGACACATGATGTTTTAGAAACGGCAATGGTGACAGCTACTCCGAACCCTAAGCGTAGCAACACATTAAAAAGTCTCAGGCCTCAGTACCCCCTGGGTTCAGGGTCGGGTCTCTGCCAGGACCAGTCAGCCAAGCAATGCCACACAGGCGCTCAGGGCACGCCAATTCCAAGAAACCTCTCCCCCTGTTAGCCTCTTTACATGTGGCCCAATTCACGCGCCCGCTGAATGCCGGTCGTTTCCGGTGAGCTGGGCGGAGCTGGGTGGGACGAGGACGAGGGGGCTGGGTGGGACCAGGACGAGGGAGTTGGGTGGGATCAGGACGAGGGGGCTGGATGGGACCAGGACGAAGAGCTGGTTGGGACCAGGACGAGGAAGCTGGGTGGGACCAGGACGAGGAGAGCTGGTTGGGACCAGGACGAGGGAGCTGGTGGGACCAGGGCGGAGAGACTGGTTAGGACCAAGACGAGGGAGCTGGGTGGGACCAGGACGAGGACTGGAGCTGGTGGGACCAGACGAGGGAGCTGGGTGGGACCAGACGAGGGAGCGGATGGGACCAGGACGAGAGGAGCTGGGTGGGACCAGGACGAGGGATCTGGGTGGGACCAGGACGAGGACTGGAGCTGGGTGGAGACCAGGACGAGGGAGCTGGTGGGGACCAGGACGAGACTGGAGCTGAGGTGATGCGAGCTAACCGGCTTACTACTCGTTGGTTGACCCGATGTCGTCCTTGGGCCCAACCTTTGTGCATTGCGCAGCACAAAGTGCATTCTGGGTAAATAGCTCCAGGGCATACGGGGGGCGGTAGCACCGTCATCTCAGCCCACTGGTGCAGGCGACACCAGGGCTGCGGTTCATAGCCTGGCTGAGCGCTCAAACTTGCCACTTTTTCTTGCCACTGATACACGTTGTGAGTACTGAGTCCGCGTAACTAGCACCGTCACGGTGCGAGTGGACCAAAATCGCATCGCCTCGCTTCACGGAAGGTGTTTATTTTTCCAGTGGGTAACCCGCCAGAACATTCAGGTGCCGGAAAACCGGAGAAGGTCTTGCATCATCGCGACGATGTACAGCACCCTGCCACTAAATAGCTAGTCAGAAACCGCCCAACCTTCAACACTGCCACTGAGCTGCACCAGAGGTGTTGGGATGTCGCGTAAGCACGAGGCGCGTTTCCTGTTCAGTCTATGGCGCAACCGCGAGTTTTCCCGTCTAACAAGATGGACGAAGGGAATGCTGGGCCCAATGCGGGAGGCCATCACATCGTATTACAGACCGCATGTTTACATTTAGTGGCGGGCAGATGGACTTGGTGGAGGCTGTTGGAGAATAGATGAATCTTCGAAATCACGACATTGGAACGACAGTTACGCGAGGCCACTTGTCGTCTATTGACAGGGTAGTACAGGGCAGTGATTCGTATTGCTCTCCACGACGGACTATAATTTTTGGCATGCTATCTGGGAAAGACCTCAGGAGCTTCAAAAACTGTAAAATGTTTTTTGACCCACTGGCGTGTGTGTCGTTCTGCTTCATGTGAAACCGCGTTGGCATTCAGTGTCGCACCAGATCCTCCATGTCCTGAAGCTCGACTCTTGGATTTTCCATTGACATGTATGTGCACGGCAAACCTGCGCCGAGCGTGAGCTACCAGCAAGGTCTAAGACATGCTATTGCGTGTGTGGAAAATCACTCAGGCACTTAGGGGTTCGTATAAGCTTTGATAGTTGGCAATGGACTGGATGACCAGGCGTATTTCTGTTGATTTATCCAAGGCATAAAAATGGGTTAAATTTCCGACAACAGTGCGAGGCCACAACCGACCTTTCATGATCCACCATATCAGAACACAGGCACAACAGCAACACGATATTAAAACGCATATTTTAGATGTTAAAATTGCCATTTCTGAATGCGACTTAAACCAAACTAAAGGCATCGAAATAGAACGCAGCAGAAATAGCCGCGGTCAGCCACGTGTGGGGATCTAACCTTATTCTGCGTAGTTTCGCGACCCGATTTCGCGGCTCGCTGCGTCGGGCGAAGCCCATATAGGATCGGCTGGTCAGAGCTTGAGGTCAGCAGCTGCAGCTGCCGTCCTCCCGGCGACGTCACCGCTGCGTCGGGCGAAGTCCATGTAGGATCGGGTGGTCAGAGCTGAGGTCAGCAGCTGCAGCCGCCGTCCTCCCGGCGACCGTCACCGCTGCGTCGGGCGAAAGCCCATGTAGGATCGGGTGGTCAGAGCTGAGGTCAGCAGCTGCAGCCGCCGTCCTCCCGGCGACGTCACCGCTGCGTCGGGCGAAGCCCATGTAGGATCGGCTGGTCAGAGCTGAGGTCAGCAGCTGCAGCCGCCGTCCTCCCGGCGACGTCACCGCTGCGTCGGGCGAAGCCCATGTAGGATCGGCTGGTCAGAGCTGAGGTCAGCAGCTGCAGCTGCCGCCATCCCGGCGACGTCACCGCTGGCAGGACTGCACTGATCTAAGGAGGTCAGCTCATGCACTGCTCCTGCAGCCGCCTTCCGGAGCGTTCCCATGAACGACTGCTGCTCATTTGTCACTCCTCGAGCTCCCCGAACAACTGTCGCAGCTTAGGCTCGTTTACACGCATCTGGCGAATGAACCGGTTAACATGCTTCTCGTGCCCCTCCCGGTAAGCTCAACTGATAGAACACGGGATCGCAATCAGAAGACCCTGCTGCGACGTGGCCATGCTCACTAGCAAATAAACGGAACGGACATGGATGAATGACTGCTAACAACTCACACTACTAGCAACTGGCAGCTAACATAACACATAACTGATCTGATATAAACGTCCTGTTCATGGAGGAGAATGAATGAGGCCTTTATAAGCCATTCTTGCTGATTTCATCCTGCAGCAAAGCGCAACGCGCTAAGATTATCCTTATCACAGCCCCCGGCCGCTTGGCAACCCCTTCTTGCCGCTCGACAACAGCACCATCGCCAGTGCATAACGAATAGTGACAAATTTGATTGGCTGGCGCAGGTTGAGCTTTTTGTCGATTTCATGTCATCGGGCACGAAGCTATAACCGGCTCAACCGGTGGGCGCGACACGAATACAGCTCGGGGATTAGCTATATAATCCGGTGGTGCTTAAGTATGGCGACAAAGGTGGGGAAGAATGCAAATGTACAGGAGAGGACTCACGTAGACGGTCAGAAGAGAAGACAGTATCGACGTTTGAAATATCCCTTCTAACCGTTTAGCAAAGACGGAGACTGATACATAACGGTAGACTGAGTTCGCTATAAAAGGCAGCTGGCGACTGCCAATTGGTCATATAGTGTGAAACGCGAGTGGTGTGCAAGACCGTCGTGAAACAGACATCCGACCCTCGTCTTCAGTAACAGGAGCTCTCAACGCGAGGGACAAGCCGAGACCGCTCGACCATCCAGTTTGAGGTTGCGTAGTAGCAGGAGCACATTAAAGAGGGAGGAGAAGGCAGAGGGACATCGGGTGCACGTGCTCCAATATCAGTTTATATATGAATTTGCATACAAGTTATTGTCGATGGTAAACGATCTGGTTAGACTCCTAAAATAAATAAACACAAATTGCGTCCACATCTGTTATGAAAGAGCCTTTGCACGCCTATGGCCTGAAAAATAAATATTCAGTAAACATTTTGCGCTGTACACTAGTCCTATTGGAGAATTATTCATAGTCTCGATGTAGAAAGCTAAGTTGTCCAAAAGCTTATTTTTGTTTTAACACACGCTTGGATGGGATGGGGAGGTCAGTTGATCCCCAAAGGTTTTTACGAAATGGTTTCCGACCGCACCAAATTTGGCATAGCCTTAGGTAAATGAATAGCAGATCGTTTGGTAGCACAAATTTAGATGCACCTTGTAAGGTTGCTGACCTGCGGCAGGCCAAAGTCAGGCCATGGATTCAGCGAAGACAATTTCTAGGGAGCCGTTCTATCTAAGGTAACGGGATATTGTGTGCGTGATGGCCACAGGATGTTGTGTGGGTGATGGCCATGGAGTGCGATACGAATGGTTGTGCACGACAATTGGCTGAGTGAGGTGACCAGTGCATCTAATCCCGTAACACACGTTTGATCTTTTAACACACTTTTGACACGTGACACGTAACACACTTTTGATCTTTATTTCTCAATTTGTCACAAATATTTGCACCACCCTGTCTCTTCTAGGCAAGCTTCTACAGCGGACGTGAGCGGTTTTAAATGTCCCCTCCCCTCTCCCTCCTCGCAGCGGGAGGCTCGCCAGAGCACCTCCACCTAACCAAGAGGGTTCTCTGCACGGTAAGCCTCGGTAGTGGACGTTTTCCACATGGTCGCAGGCTGCAGCGCCTCGCCACCAGTCACCGCTCTCCCTGCAGTTTTACCCCACCACTCAGCCCTCTCCCTGCAGTGTTGTTCCACCACTCAGCCCTCTCCCTGCAGCGCTGCCCCACAACTCAGCCCTCTCCCTGCAGTGTTGCCCCACCACTCAGCCCTCTCCCTGCAGTGTTGCCCCACCACTCAGTCCTCTCTCTGCAGTGTTGCCCCACCACTCGACGCTCTTCCTGCAGTGCTGCCCCACCACTCATCGCTCTCCCTGCGGTGTTGCCCAAGCACTCATCGCTTTCCCTATTTCTCTAAAATAGTCATTTCTTACTGATATATTGTCCCCGGTTGTTATATTGTCCGCATAGTTGTCCCCGGGATACGTGCCCCATTCCTTACCAAATTTGGCGCCTGTATAAATACGTAGATGAATAAATTTGATGTAAAATTCTAGGTAGGCACGTAAAACAAAAGATTAAAAAGGTGCGCTGTTGTTTTACGACACGCAAAATATTGGACGAATCTGTATGCGTCAAACCCGATTTTCAACACGAAAAGGTGTTGTTTGCCCCCCCCCCCTAACCACTGTAAACCCTGTTTACGGCCCTGGCGCTATCTGCAGCTATCGGTACTTCCTATTGGAAAACACGTTGTCGATCATGTCTGGAAAATACCCATCGCTGTTGGTGTGGACTGTTCGAAAATAACGACAATGCTGTGGCAAGACGGGTGAACGCCTTGCCCAACAGGGGCAAGTGAAGAAATGCCAGAGATCAATGAACACCACGTGCAAAAAGTGTTCGGAGGGTGATTTATGAGGCTTGTCAAGCTCAGAAAAATGCGGGTCACTCGCCGATCGGATGCGAATGCTGCTCACTGCGAGCAAGACAGGTTCAATCAACCACTGCACATTGCAAGATGCAAGTGCAGCAATCCAGCAAATTGCACATGCCCGAGGAGTGACTAACTCCGACCAATCCCTATTCTAAAAGATGGACTTCCTTCACCACCGAGGAACACGTCGATGAGGAGGCTTAACGCAGCCGACCGTCTGGAGGCAAGTGGCCGTCGGAACGAACAAGTCATGATCGGTCAGCTAGCAAACGATCGTCGCACCGCTTCTCGATGGCTGCACCGCGTCTGCCGTCGTCTCCAGGAGCCGAGCCCCACGGAGAAATGGCAGCGCACTGTTCCGCTGACGGTGCTAGCAGCCTCGACCAAGGTCTTCCTGTTGACGGCGCTTGGATTCGCCGACAGACGCGGGCCCAGCGGCCAAGGCGTGGTGAGTGCCACGCCAGGCCACTGCCGCTGTTGCTGGCGGATTTCAAGACGAGTGTCGGCGAGCTTACAGCAGGCAATAGCAAGGATATATCTGACCACAAAAAAGTGGCGACAGGCCGACCAGAGATCGGGATGTGATGGCTGGGACAGTGCAGGTGCCTGAAATCTCGTCAGCGACCTGCTTTTCAGCTGTCAAAAAGATGTTTCATCCAGGAAAGTACGGAAACAATCCGATAAAAGGGTCTCAGCCACCTCAAGCAAAACGTAGAGCGGCTCGGTAATGGGCCACTGCTCGCCAGGACATGGATCTGCGCCAAACTGGACACCGACAGGACAGGTCGTCCCGACTTTCTAGTCGAAACAACACTTTTTCGCCTGTGATAAAAGCTGCCCATAGAAGGAGTCCTCGCACGTCACCGGTTTTATGTATCATTCGAGGCAGGTACTTGAGGTTCGACCCGCATTTCACTTGCGTAACATCCACCTGTTTCAGCGTGGTGGTACCTGCATGAATGCGACCTAACGCGCTGGGTGCCCTAACACTCGATCTCACCACGGACAGTAGACAAAAATAACTTCCAACGACATGAGAATTGCACTACAAGTAGGGTAAAATCCTCTCCGGACAATCACCTCCCTAGGGGACCGGATCATTCCAGCTCAAAGACTACGGGCTTCTATGATAGATGTGGTTTGGTTGAAATCAGAGCTCTTTGGTCAGCAAGCAGGAAGCTTTTACATAACACTAAAGGAAATGTTCCACATTTGAAGATGCTGAAGCAGCTGCCAGATATCCTGAAATCAACTCACTTATAACTATTTATGTATCTTCAAGTAGAAAAACTGCTCTAGACACTATTTTTTTAATGTGTATTTGCACTTGAACTTTCTCCATTTAGTGAACATATTCCTCAATACGTCATTGTTTGATCACGTCCTGGAACGTTTGTATGACGCTGAGATACCGCCGAACTAGCCTCGCAAAATTGTCACTTGTAGTGCCTCCAACTCGTAGAGATATGGCAGCACCGGCTGGAAGTGTTCGTTGAGGCAAATGTTATAAGCTCATGCTTTGGCCCTTTCACGTGGTGTTCTCGCACATTTGTTCGTGAGCTTGAAGGAGTTGTTTCACATTTGAAGATATTGAAGGAAGGATCAGATATGATGAAATAAGCTCACTTATAGCTATTGGTATGCCTTTAAGTAGAAAAGATTGCTCCAAAAAACATAATTTGTTTGTTTAGTAAATATGGTCTTCAATGCGGCATTACTTGATAACGTCATTGTGCCTTGCGCAACATTGATTGAGAGGCAATTGACGGCGATTTTATCTGGAGGTCATGCACACGAGCACCATATATGAAGGAATCGACAATTCTTTTTTCTTGGCGTTGCTCCCTGCATGACCGATGGAATGCGTGATTTGGATCGCGTAATTATGGCGTCATTGATAACTGGGTGACCTTGAAATAGTCTCCGCCGAAATAGTCTGCACATCTCTGTGGGCGCGTAGCTCAGAAATTCGACCCGGGTGTCCCACCGGAGCCGACGATCAAGGGCCCGGTTGGAGGGCACAACGGCCGAAGCGCTGGCTATAAGTTACATAAAACATTGCGGCTCGTAGGTTCGTGACCTGAACTATCAGTCAGATGGCCTCTCGCACCGTTCAGGACCCTGAAACAACGCGGGTGTCGAAGATTTGCATTGGCCCGGGCCCCTGAGACATTGTCGTGTGTTCGCTAGTGGCCCCGAGTCTTTCACGATGTTTAAAGAGGTCCCAAGAGAGACGGAAGGGCCGTTCGGGACCAGGGTCGGAAGGCTCCGGGGCCCGAAGGGCTGGTCGTCGGTCGTGTTAAGAACATCCCCCACCCGTAAGGTCGCAACCTCAGATGCCAATCAGAGGGTCTCTGGCTTCAATTGGGGCCACTGGGACATTGTGACCTCTATATCGGCCAGAGACGACCAACACTGAACAGTCGCTGCGTGTCGGTTTGAGCACGGGGGGTTGATTTCCCAAGTACTGACGAGGCCGGGCCCGCGATTTGCATTAGTCGGGGTCACTGAAACTATGAGCGTGTTGGTGAGAGCCCACAGTACCTAACATAGGGTCCTGTGCCGGCAAGTGGCTCGAGTCGCCAGGAGATGTGTTTGAGTCACCGTATTAAACCATTTTTCCGATGGTGGGCCCCGAGAAGAATATTTAAAAGTCACCTTGGCATATATCACGTCGCAATAATGTCATTCAAATCCTGCCATTTCACAGGCCATGCGGCGATCAAGGCCAAGGTTGTCGAAGCGTTAAAAACTTAAAAATCAATTGTTCGAGCCACCTGGCGTTCGTGAGTGCGATTTCCAGATAAAACAGCGTCAGTTGTCTCTCAACCAATGTTGTGCAAGGCACGACGACGTAACCAAACCATAGCACATTAACGGGCATATTTTCTAAACAGAGATATTTGCTGTTTAGAGTCGTCTTTTTCACTTAAAAAGGATACCAGTAGTTTTAAGTGAGCTTGCTCCATAATATATGATGATGGCTTTAACGCGCGCCGGGTAGCCGGTTGGATACCCTTCGCTCGGGTGGGAGGCAATTTGACCCACTGAGATCTTAAAATTAAGAGAGCCAGAGACACTAAACTCACAGGGTGTATTGGCCTGCACGTGAATGAACTTTGGTCAAAGTTTGAGTTTCCTAGGTCATGACCTTCGGGTCAAATAAGGTGAAAAAGCCAAATTCCAGACTGGTGTCCAAAGTGCCTCCAGATCCTAGACACCTGTTCTTAGAAAAAAATGTGCTCATTTAAGTTGCATGACCTTGTTTGACCTTTCGAAGGTCATGGTGACCAAAATCATACAAGAGTGCTGTGAGTTTTGCATCTGAAAAAGTGAAAACAAAGGTCACGCTTTGCAGCATGTCCCTAAAAACTAAACCTTGACTTGTGTCATTTCAGGTCAATGACCTATTATGACTTTTAGGGAATCCATGTAGGATGTATAATGCGGTTCCTATTAAAAATAAATACGAAATGAACACCAGAAACTACTCCATACAGCAAGCCCTAGAGTAACGAAGCAGGCTGGTTTTGTCCTTAGCCCAACCTTCATGCCTGATCTTTGGTCAATGAATTTTGTTTTCTCATTCGGCTGTTATGTTTCCTAAGAAATTATGTCAGAGATCTGTGACTTCATCCAACACTCCTGCATCAGAATGAACGATTCCCTAAAAACTGATGCTGCTGAATCCATCGCCTTACTTTCACCTACCGTTGGTCAGCGACCTTACAAACTGCATCTATATTTTTGATACCATATCACCTGCTATCCAGTTGTCTACAACAATGCAAAATTTGGCTGCGCCGCGCCATCCGGAAACTACTCCGGAAAAGCCGTCTGGAGGAGAAGTCAAATTGACCCCACCCGAGGGTGTGTAAATATCTTCAAATTTTAAGCATTCCATTAAATTGGCGCCTGCACGCTGGAGCTGATGACGGATTACCGCAACGCTCAGCGCCTGTCTAGGCGCAATGCACTGAGGGTAACTGTTTTATAACGAATTCAGTTCATCAAAGTCTAGAATCTGCTTTGCAACTTTTTGACCGGCGCTTCTTGCAACGTTGAAGCAAAAATATCTACTGCCAAGCCCACAGCGACAAAAATTTCCTTCAAATGCCTGACCAGCGCGACCCCACAAAATGCTGTGAACGTCCGATGGAAATTCCTACGAATGTTTAATGAGTGGTAGAAGCGTGGAACTGGGTGATGTAAGCATCAGCTGGAACGAACCGGGTCGGACCGCGTGAACCTATCCCCGCTCGGCCTTTGCACTGTTATTCTGTCCGGAGGAGTAGAAATTGTCCCTCACCGCTCGATATTTCTGAAAAATGTTTGACGTCAAAGCTTGGGCATGTCCTGAGGCAATCTTAGTGACGTCGTATACCCCGTGAGAACTATGCCATCAATACTGGACTGCAGGTGTGGATGGGGAATATAACGAACTAGGGAGGTCATAAGAAACGGGCTAATGGTGATGTGTATTATTGTATCCATTTCAAGTTTGACATATCCAAGATCATACGGCTTACTTGAAAAGTCTTCTGGACAAGGATTACAAGTCATGCACGATCGTGCATTGACGAAGCCGGGAATATCCATATGGTTTGGTGTCCATGTGAAGACATGTTTAATACTGAAGTGAACACTTTACATCAGTTCACACAGTCCATATATAGTCACTATACTCATGGACCGAGTGATAACACTCAACTTAACCAAGCACGTGTCTATGTTTCAGAGGCGTATCAATGCCCTGAACATGGAGGGACAAACCAGGGGTGTTAAAGGTGTATTTTTTGTCGCCGACTGAATTTCTGGATGCAAAATTGCCACCAGCAGCGTAATGCGATACCATATGACACGAAATGGTAATGAATTCCATGCCACCAAATCCATCCCCAGCAGCGTCTCAGGAATCATTCTATCAGCGAGAGCACTTTTCATAACCGCAATTTTCAATAAGATGCACACGACCAAAACACTCAATTATACGACGACCTTCAAATACTGTCAGGATAAGTGAGGCTGCTAGCAAAGAAGACACACCTGCCCTAGGCTATGGGATAGCCCAATCACTACAGCAGCTTTCTCCTACTTACGGGACTGCCGGGGCCTCACGTTTGAACTCCGTCTACCGCCGGATTTGCTTTCTTCGACCGCGAAAAAGCAACAAAGGATCTCAATAGTCGGGACACCAGCACACATGGCAGCATTCGAGCCGCTGGCAAGCAACACTGGGGATGACGTCCAATATGCGGGCCTCCTCGAGACCATGTCCCCTTATCAAAATCATGCGTGCGCTTCGAGCCCCATCTCAGCCGTCATCAAACTGTCCACCATACCCTAGGCATGCTCCAAGCCTGACGCGACAGTGTTGCCTGTAAGGCGCCTTTCGCCGTGCCCCAACGAGTAAGTTACACTGAAATTTGTCAATAACCTCACATCAGGCTGTTAGTTCTTTCTGAGCAACATACTCGCCCTGATCGGAGGGGAGGTGGGGCCATGTGGCGCTCCCTCTCCCCCTTAAGGTTTTCTGGGGATGCCAGTCCGGCATATTGTGGATTCGCGCCCAAATCTTTGTCATCCCCTGGGGCATGTAATGCGCGCATGCTGACGCCAAAAACGTGTCCCTAGTCATCCTGGTCTCGAAGAAGCGATGCATTTTACGAGGACTGCAAGACGATCCAAGACCGGCCGGGGGCGGCACGCGGCAAGCGTCGATTCTGCGGACCGCGCGCGGAGGGCGAGCTGTTGCATTTGCGAAACCCTACATCATGAATACAGGCTCGAAACAGATAAAATTGCATGTCACTGTACTCATATTTGAACAAGAAACACGCTTCTCTAAGTTTTGTGTTTCTACACTGTGTAGGCTTGTGTATACGAGCGTACAAAGCGAAAATACCTTGATTTTCAGAAAATTTGGCCTTAAACTTGGTCTAGTGTGATCGGTTAGCAGAATGAGATTTGTTACCAATCGCGAGGCTTCGTTAAAGACAGTTCACTGTTGTTTTTTGCGAGTCTCTGCCTTACTTAGTTTGCAAACGGCATGGGATCGCCTCCCGCCCCATCAGTCCGCGTTATGAAAACCAGCGAATTAGGGTAGGGGTTAAAATTATTGGCTACCATCCTTTTTTACTTAGCTTAAATAGGTTGGTGAAAATTCCGTATTCTAGATCACAAAAATATTAGCTGTAACAGCAGCATGACACACATTCTTACTTACAACCAGGCATTGCTAGAAATTCACTTAACAAACCAAATTGCCCTTTGCATGCTAAGAAGCATACACATTTAAGGTTGCCTGTGTTGATTGCCATGCATAATGTAGGAATGTCAATTGAAATGAATTTCTGGGGCCCTACCCAACTAGCATGTTTGGTTGGGCCGCCTCAATGTGGGTTCCTTCCCTCCTCCCAGCACTTCTGGCTCAAAGAATACAACAATATATTAGAAATTCAAACCATAGCACAAGGCCACCTTCACGGGACTTAATGCATTGAGCATGACCCATCGGCTGCTACCCTCCTCAAAAATGCATAAAAATTGACACTCTTGTCATTATGCTATGGTCACATAAACTATGTCTATTCATATCATAAAAAGAGGCTGCATATAATGTGGGCCATCTGCCTTCACAATCCGTTCCTAACGTGCACAGTATTTATGCTAGGGGTTTCATCAGGGCAATTTTCCATTCGATATTAGCAAAACAGTGATAAAATGTACCACATTTGCACCCATGCAAGTGTCATGCTCAGAAGTGCAAAGAAAATATGTATGTGAATGAGCACTGTAGAATAAATCCCTTCCTATCAGCTAGATGCTATCATCAGCAAATAGCAAACATTGTCTTCAAAGACAACCAAACGTCAATCTTTCCCTAAACTAATAATACACTTGAACCAAAATACCACAAAACATCCTGTTATTTCATTAAATCTCCTGGAAAAGGGAGAGATGGCAATGAAACCTGTATGCCCCTCTACCTCCCTCCTCAATACCTATTCCTCACTTGCATATATATATATATATATATATATATATATATATATATATATATATACATATCCAGCAATTAATATTCATAGAAGCAAAAGGCTGAACCGTGAATGAATAGGCTAATAAAATGTTATCAAAACATTAATGAATTAATTGCAATTCAGGCGGGGTAGAGGTTTTCAAGATAGATCGGGGAAATAGTGAAAAACTATGCCAACTTCCTCCAAAATATGGATCTTTCGCAGTTTGGCACACTTTTTACAAATTTAGGGGGAGGGCTGGAACACTGAACTGAAAAGGAAACTAGCTACATCCTTCATATGTAGATACATGTGAATGGTAACCATTCTCAATCAGGTCAAGAGCAAAAATGGTATAAATTGGCACTTCAAAACCCTTATCACCTTCTCTCAGCCCTTCTTTGAGGAGTGCCATCAGACTTCAGACATCGACCCACCGTCCTTTTTAAATGTGGCAGCTTGTGACAGTTGCAGTGAGCCGACAGCTCCTATAGTATCTGAAAAGGCGGTCTGGATAATCACAAGCCAACTTCTACCTTGATCGGATCATGTCAAAACTTACCCTAAACTGTCAATGCCTCCATTCACTGAGGACAAGATGCTGAATCGCGGCACCGCCAACGGAGTAAGCAAAGCCCGACAGTCAAACCCTAGGCAGGTCTTCATGACTGCAATGGGAATGCCGCTTGAAAAGTCGCAGTGCATTAAAGGTCACCACCCACCTCATATCAATCGCATCACAACGGTTGAAACATGCTTTTGCGGTTAGATGGATCCTCATATGTAAATATGTTTCAGTATGTTATACTGTCTGGTTTGGGACACTGAGAGTCGGCTGGTAAAAACAGCGAGTCGGCCGACCGGCCGGGGGTAGGAAATACACTGATTTGTTGCCGATCTGTCACCGAGTCGGGCAACCAACTAAAAGTCGTGGGATAATTTTGTCGCCGGATCGGGATGAAACCTTAAAAGATGCCATGGTGCCGTAAAGTACGTGTGGCGAAATGCACTACCATGAAGGCGTAATATCTATGCATGGAGACGTCATGTTGGGTTTTGCGGTGTGTGCTTATTATTAGCTGTGTGCTGTATTATGTGTGTTGTATTAGTAACCGTCACCGAAATTTTCCGTCAAAAACATGTTGGAACCAAGCTTCGCGTGCATATATACATTTTTGTCTCCGACACCAATTCGGCAGGTTTTACCACCCCTGGGACAAACCATCTAAAAATGTGTCTCTGAATCCGCAGTTGGCATTCGAATGTTTGCAATGCTGTACCAAGATGACTTTACTGTTTAAACAGTATGTGTATCATGGTTCAGAGTGGCTCACAGGAGGAGACCTGAGATGCACCGTATTTGGTTTCATGGAAGGAAGTAAATGTGCCGCCCCAAAAACAGTCCTGCAGCTCCTTGAAGTGTATGGATAGGAATAAATAATACACTGCCGGAAGCACAATTAAAATAAGGCAACTTACCGAGTTTCAAAGACCATTCCCACGCGAATACTGTGCAAAAAAAGTTCATGGGGGGGGGCTGTGGGAATTGTCTCCCGGACGGAAATATGCTTTTTGTAGAATTTGACGGAAAGTACCAGAGAGTGCAATACCTTGCAATGCTGTTACTTTTAAAAAGTATCCCCTGAATATGATGTTATGGCTATAAAGCATTCCACGACATACGTGTCACTGTTATTAAACAGGATCTTTCAGCAAGAGACTTTCAAACGCACACTGGGGTTTAGAAAACGGTTCGTTCTGGAACACCGCACTGTAAAATGCGTACCCCTACGTTTGCTAATGCAGGAGGCCCGGCCCGGAGGACAGACCCGGAGTATTTAAAGTCGCGACGGTCAGAATATATTCCAGCCATTGCAATGGTCCGCGTCTGGCTGTTCTCTATGTCTGTCGTTTGTCGCTGACAACAATGTGTTTTTAGCGTTGGCGGCAAAGCTTTTACAGCAAATAGAACAACTGAAACGAGAATGTCAAGTTGTTCGACATAACTATTGTTTCCAAAAGCCTTTGAAAGCGATTCGTGAAATTCAGCAGACTTTTATCAACCATCTCATTCATGCCTCACGAACGTCTTTTAACTTCATGCCTTGTGTTATCTTCACGGCTGCCATATCGTCGTAAGTTAGGGGCTTTATGCAGCACGTCAAAACAATAATCTTAAGCGATCAAAAATCTATGTAAAATCCTCCATCTTGCTGAAATGGGATGACGACGTTCTCAACAATGTCACTGACTGTGTCTTCAGGATGAGAAATGCTATTGCTTCCAGTGCCTTCAGTCTTCGTGGTACGTTATTTAAAATGCAGGAATCAATGTTCTCACTCTTCAAACCAGAAGAAACCCGTTGTGATTAACACGAGATTCGTCAACATATTCCATTGCACACGAGACAATTGCAGGCAACGATGAGACAAATTGTAGGCAAACAAAATGCTCATTTCTTGCATTTTGTTGTAAAAAAACTAGTCTCTCAGATTTCTTGAAGCCTCATTGGAATGAAATATCGCAGCATTGTTGTGCCAAATTGCCTACATCTTGTCTTGCGTTCAAATATGACGTGAGAGTGGCTCTCAGTTGTGCTCAAGACTCAGCCCAGCAGCTTAGACGGCAATTAGCTTTTTAAATCAAATCGATAGCAGCCAACGACCGAACCAGTTAGACGCGCAGAGGAACCGGATATCTCCGCATCCCACAGAGGGCAACAGCCTGCGAGACATTTGAAACGGCCATGCGTCATGAGTTTGACAACCATCAACGACCTCACAACTAACCATGCATCAGATGACTTTATTCCAAAGCCAGGTCGGTGAGACACATTTCCTCCGTCATTTTTTACATAGAAGAGAGAAGAGAGAGAGAAGGAGAGAGAGAGAGAGAGAGAGAGAGAGAGAGAGAGAGAGAGAGAGAGAGAGAGAGAGAGAGAGAGAGAGAGAGAGAGAGAGAGAGAGAGAGAGAGAGAGAGAGAGAGAGAGAGAGAGAGAGAGAGAGAGAGAGAGAGAGAGAGAGAGAGAGAGAGAGAGAGAGAGAGAGAGAGAGAGAGAGAGAGAGAGAGAGAGAGAGAGAGAGAGAGAGAGAGAGAGAGACGTGGGGGGGGGGGGGGGAGAATTGCATTAAGAGCGAGGAAGTAGTAAGAGCGGGAGGGAAGAGTGTGTGCAATGAGAGCACTTTGACCCGCAAATATCCTCTGCACCAGGGGCACCACCCATCCCTCCTCGTGTCCCAGATATGCCGCCGCCCAGCGCCGGTCCGACCGGCCCGGCCCCGCCGCTGGGGGCATCCCGCTCTGGCTCGCAGCCCGGCCCAGCGTTGGAGGAGCAACACCTGCGGGACGGCTACGGTGCCTTGACGGCCACCGTGTTCCTCTCCTCCGTTTCGGTCGGCGCCAACCTGCTCAACGTGCCGCAGGGCATGGCCCATCTTGGTGAGTCGGGTCACGGGGCGGCACGACCCGGCGTGCTCGGGAGGCGCGGCGGCGAGCGTCGGGCCCGGGCGGCAGGCGCCTGGCAGAGCGCCGTCGGTCGATCAGGAAGCTTAGGGCGCAGCGTTGTTCACTGTCGCTCCATATCCCAGCCCTCCCCGCACGTGAGCAGACATGGGTTGTTTTTAAATGTGGGCAAAGGCGTTGCCCATTCGCGACTGTTTTTCCCCATGCAATTTTAGGACCCATATGGTCATTAACGCGGCAATCTTTCACACGGGTTGCAGCGGGACAACCGATCGGGCATGTAGACCTACCCAATCTCGGTTGTAGGTCAAGCATCGCCAAGCCTTGAACAACGAAGCCCCTCTGCAGAGTACTTCAATTTGCAACTACTGTTCCTAATCCGTGTAATCTTAAACTGCGCTCACAATCTCGAAAATGCGATAAAAATCACGACAGGTTTGCGTTGCTCGTCGGAGGCAGCACCGCCTTGTAAATCGCACCAGAAGTAAAAAAAAATCGTCAAAATTCACATATTGATGTTGACGTAATTAAGGCAGGCGTGTAATGCATTGTTATTGTGAAACGAAACGGATACTTTGATAATACCAGCGATGTATTAGTGTATAAAATGCTGCTGGAGGCGACCTCATTGTGACTGATCCCGAAGCTTTTGTTCGGTACAGCCAACCCGGCGTCAGCGCTGAAGCTCTGCTGTCTTGCCTCTCTTCCGATAATTGTTGTGTATGCTCTTGCATGGGTTTGTTGCCCGGGAGAGGGTGGTGCGAACCGGTTGGGAGCGGATCTCCACCACCTGAGCTGCACAGTCGGCATGCGGGTCTGCGGGTCACACATCACGTTGCGTCCACCGAAATACAATCCCTTGAGGTTGTCTGAGTACCAGCTCAGTCGCAGCTTTCCTCGTAGAATTCATTTCGCTTGCATACAAAAGTTATGTGGTGTTCAATCAGACAAAGGATGACGGAACAACATTTACGCATTAAACACCATAGTTACCGTTACCTGTGGTCTTGGCACGTTTCTCTGCTCGGTTGGATGCCTCCCTTGCCTTAGACGTTGTCTCACAGGAGGCAACAGATGCCTCGCTTTTTCAAATTGCTTGACACAACATCGAATGTTTGGGACTTTTTTTGGCCCACCCTTTGTTAATTTGGCAATAAACAAACGCAGGTACACCCGGAAATTCTCCAGCAGTGGCTGCGTTTTGCCAATTAATGCTTCCTACGAAGCTAGGGCGAAACCGCCAGACCATGGTTGCGAGATGGAAGATATTTCAGTCCCACTCTTTCCTTATCACCCTTTATGCCTGATGCTAATACTGAGCGTTATCGGCCGTCCCAGATCGCCAGCGACGGTGCCGCTGCTGCAGAGATCGGCTGACAGGCATTTACCACCTGCCGATGTTGTGGTTGCATTTAGCGGGCTTATCGCGATTTGTAATGTCGCGCCAATGACATAGATGATCTAGGGAATGCGCCGCATCTAGGAAATTAGAGAAGTTAACAAAGAATTTGTGCATGTTCCGGTGAACCACATTTAAGCCAGGCAGGAGTACACAGTGCTTCTTATGCTGAGTATGGGTTTTAGGTTCATAGGTCATGAATTTGCTATCCTATGGTGTTTTCTCATTGGCCCTGTTTTGACGCGATGGAAATGCAATTCACAAATGCCCTCCAGCTAACGCATTCTGCTTGCTACTGCCCCCCCCCCCTTCCCCTCCCCCTCCCCCTCCTCCTCTTGGTGTTGTCAATATCCTGCCAGTTCGTGGAATCCCCATCGCTGTGCAGTTCCTCATGCCAGCCCACTACTGACGCACTGTTTATATCCACTGCGCCGTGTTGTTATCGTCCAATGCCCGTGCCGTCTATTTCCTCAGCCCGTGCTGTCCGTGTTTACTGCCCGTGCTGTGCATGTTCACTGCCCGTACTGTTCATGTTCTTTATCCATGCTGTGCACACCACGCCTCGCGTGCTGAGCGACATCGCTCGCCGCCGCCCGCCGCATCCGCCAATGCCTGACACATGCCGCCAGCTGTTATCATGTTCTGTCTGTGTTCTGCCGAGCGACGCCACCGGCATGACGCCAGCTGCCGTCCTGCTGTGTCTGTGTCTTGCCCAGCGGTGTCGTTAGCCGACACCAGCTGCCGTCCTGCTGTGTCCATGTTCTGCTGGGCGGTGCCGCCGACCTGACACCGGCGACCGGCTGGGCCCCAGGCTGGCTGGCGGTGCCTTTTGTGCTGGTACTGTCCCTGCAAAGCTGCTTCACCTCCCACCTGCTGGCCTGCTGCTGGACCATGGTGGAGGCGCTGGACCCGGCGCTCAGCGGACCCGTGCACCAGCCGTACCCGCTGATCGCCGACCGCGTTCTTGGAACCTGGGCGAGGTCGGTCAGGCAGCTAGAGAAGGGCCGGCCTGGGCAAGGTCGGTCGGGCTGCTAGAGAAGGGCCAGCCTGGGCAAGGTCAGTCTGGATGCTAGAGAAGGGTCAGCCTGGGCAAGGTTAGTCGGGCTGCTAGAGAAGGGCCGGCCTGGGCAAGGTCAGTCGGGCTGCTAGAGAAGGGCCAGCCTGGGCAAGGTCAGTCGGGCTGCCAGAGGAGGGCCAGCCTGGGCAAGGTCAGTCGGACTGCCAGAGAAGGGCCGGCCTGGGCAAGGTCAGTCGAGCTGCTAGAGAAGGGCCAGCCTGGGCAAGGTCGGTCAAGTTGCTAGAGAAGGGCCAGCCTGGGCAAGGTCAGTCGGGCTGCCAGAGGAGGGCCAGCCTGGGCAAGGTCAGTCGGACTGCCAGAGAAGGGCCGGCCTGGGCAAGGTCAGTCGGGCTGCTAGAGAAGGGCCAGCCTGGGCAAGGTCGGTCAACTTGCTAGAGAAGGGCCAGCCTGGGCAAGGTCAGTCGGGCTGCTCGAGAAGAATCTTTGGTCACTGGAGCCCGACAACCTTGAGTCAGATCAGCTAATTCATCAGAGTGGGATGACCCAGAGCCACCAGAATCCGGTGGCACCGGGTCAGGTCAGCTGGGTCAGCAGGGGACGGGCGTCTCGGGCCAGTTTGGATGGGTCACCAAACCACTGGGACCCTGCTCGTGTCCTGGTGAGAGCGGCTTGTCAGAGGATTGAAGCCTGGCATTTGAAACGTGCATAGAGACGAGCAGAATGCTAGATGAGTGGTTGGCAAGACAAATGCCTGCTGAGACTGGTTTTGCATCAAATCGTTAATCTAAACATGGGGATATCGTTAATCTAAATGGGGCGATGTTAGTTGGTCACCCGCCCACTGGCTGCCAATTCGATGCCTGAGCCTGTAATGCACGGAGCCGGGTGCCGTGAGGTCAAGTAACAATGAAACGGTGATGTTGTACACTCTTGGCATTGATAATTATCATCATACTCCGTTCAGGCGCGTGACACCGTTGATGGTGGCGATGTTGCAGACACATGACTTCACTGACGGTGATGGCCGTCGACACGCTGACATCCGTCATGCTGCTCGTGCTGGCCTCGGACCTGGTGGCCACCATCATCACCTACGCCTTCCCCCGCGCCGAGCCGACCATCTGCTTGATGATCATCTTATTGGCGACCTTCCTCTGCCCCTTTACCTGGTTCCAGTCGCCGAAAAACTTCTGGTAAGTCATAACTTGTAACGTGAGGAGGTTTTGCAATCACGCGTTCAATGTGAATGTTGGAGGTTGTGGGACTTCTTTAGCGATTGGGCTGCTCTTCGACAAAACTCGTTGTTAAAATGTTATGTCCAATCATTAATGAATTGGCATTTCAAGCACTCTACAGGACACTTATTCTTGTCTCTAATGTTGTAGGTGATCGGTAGACGATTTCTGAAATTCCGATCAGAACTATTTTTGTCCGCGTTCACAATCTACTTCGTTCTGTTGCATACTCTGTTGAAACTATATAAAGCTCTGCTCCGTCCAGCCAAGTCCTGCTGCAGACTTGTTTCCTGTCTCCACCTGGAGGCTCAGGTCGGCTCTACGGTGCCAAGCATCCAGTGACTTAGTGACAACTTTGCAAACGTGTTTTTGTTGAGGCAACAAGGAAGCTGACGATCTGCTAGTTTGGATGTATATGTGCATTGGCCTTGAGTAGTGCATGACCTGATCATGCTTTTCGTGTAATAGCGTGCCAACGCTAGCAGGTTTTTGTGCTCTTTTTCGTCCTTTACACGGATATCATCCAGCAGGCAAGCTACAGTGCATCCGCATTGCGGAAATGAGATGCATCGCAGTGACAGCGCTATGGCCTATTCGCAAAGCGGTAAACGTGAGCAAACCCGGAAGCCCTGTGTGGTGTTCCGAGTGAGCGAGGTTGTGTAGCAACTGCACATTTCCAAATAATGCAAGGCACAATACATAAATCTGGTAATCGCACCAGTAATCGATTTATTTTTGTTGCCGGTAGAGATACCTCACTTTCAACTAGTTTTCAACGCAAGCGTCAACATTGCGTAAACTTAGTACCCTCTTTAATGGTTTTTTAGTTTCGGACTTTTCTTTTTACGCGCTTCGGAGGCGCGTGTGATTCCACCGTGTAAGCCGCACATCTTCCGTCATGCTATTTTTCTGAAGGAGCCATAATTCAGACCGCTAGCGCCGCTGCGCTAGCAGTCTGGGCATACTTTCTTCTTTCATCTCCTGTGTGGTCATGTTGGACAGCCTTTTAGAAAAGAACAGCCCTAGGGATTTTGCTTGCTCGTCTGAATGCCCACAACACCTCCTATTGTCCGGTATTTGTGGGCAATTTGCGGTGGCTTATCGATTGCGGCTCTTTCTTTGTCTGAATACTTAAGATGAATTAAGAAAACTTTTAGGCGTTTGATATGGTTTACATTTCGAGTTGCAAGCCGGCTTGGGCTTCAGTCTGTACATTTTGCGTTATGTTTTGCACGCTGCACTTTTTGCCATAACACCATATACTTTGGACGTGTGTCTTACGGGCTTAAAAACGCATGCATCGACCGACCACCAGATTGATGTGCGTGAAGGCTTTAGACCCTTTTTGTTGCAAGCATGAACAAATACTTTTGGTTATATTTTGGATACAACTCTTTGAATATAACTAAGATCGTTATGAGGTGGACTAGATATCCTCTGCTCATCTTAGTAGAAATGCAGCCGACCTTTATGGCATACTGTGCCTGTTTCTTCTCGATGTCGTTTGATTATAACTGGAGTTTGAATCCCTAAATGCACCCGTAATTCCATTGCAGCCGGTCGGCCGATCATCACAGCGGTGTGTGGCCCGGCAAGGCAAAGCTATGTACTTATCGGGCATGCCGTGCCACTTGACCGCAAGCGCTGCTGGCTATTGAACTTGCTGACATAGTGATTTGTGATATTAACCGCTGAGAATGCAAAATTTCCAACTATTGCCCCAGCTTGGTATGATCGAACTGACAGCGAACGCGGGGCACAGACAGTGATAAGCATGTTACAACTGCGCGGAATCCTACGCTTGCCTGTGACGAATGCATGCGCTGGATATCAGGCATACTGCATTGGGCACAATGTTTTGTATCCAGCGCATGTTAACGGCGAAAGCCACAGAGTCGCAGAACCGAAGAAAGAGCACCCGGCACCACTCTTCACTCTGCAGGATGGTGGGCGTGGTCGGACTGGCCACCTCTCTGTCAGCCTGGCTGCTGCTGCTGATGAAGATGTGCGCCGACTTCTGCCAGCGTACGCAGCCGCCGCCGCGGGGGCCGCCCACGCCGCTGCGTATGATGGTCGGCATGAGCAGCTTGTGCAGCAGCTTCATCTCGGCTGGCGTGCAGCCCACCATCCAGGCCGACATGCGGGACCGCACCGCCTTCTCCGGCACGCTCACTGCCGTCTGGATAGGTGCGAGCCTGGAGCGGAGAGGGGGAGGGACGGCGCGCGGTGCTCGGGGGCGGGCATGGTCACGGATGGGCGATTTCGCTCCGTGCTGCTGTGAGTGAGGTCTCAGGCCTAGAGTCTAACTTAAGCTGGGGCGATATTTCCAAATTGAGCGGCCTGATCATCGTGCTTTCTAGAAGCCATTGGCTTTGCAGCCAGTGGTGACAGGTCCAAGTCATTTCCAGTAACTAAAATTCTAGTTCTGTAAAAGTTGTGCTTTAGGAACTGTTGAGCATTTGCATCTCAACTATTTCTACAAGAGGGTTTCCTGGAGCCTACGCAGAGTCGGCGCAACAAGGAAGGGACCAAAAGCATAGTTTTGCCGTTAACATTTTTGGAGGCCCTTTTTGACCTGGCAAAGGCTTTGTAACTCACGTGAATGACCCAGATTCAGGTCAAGGAGACGCCTTAACTGCGCTAGCAGTACTAAATCCGGTTCAAAAGACTTTTTCTACAGTAAGAGGCCCGTTTTTTAAAATCATGAGACCGCCTTTATGAACTTGGTGGCGCACGCTCTGGATAAGAAGACTCACATTCGTGCTAAGGAAACCCTTGACTGGGTCGGGAGACCGCTGTCACAAAATAGGAGGCCCATTATAACTAAGGAGTCCCTGTTTTGAATTGTGAGGTCTCTTTGCAAATTAGACGGCCCCTTTATGAACCAGGGGATTCCCATAATGAACTAGGAGGTTTTCGTTATGAACTTGGAGACCCCGTTGTTAACCATGGGGTTTCCATCATGAACTACGAAACTCCCGTTGTCAATTAGGAGGCCACATTGTGAAATAAGACACTCGCATTGTTAAATAGGAGCCCCCTCATATGATCAAGTTGGCCAATGTTATGAACTAGGAGGCGGCTGGCTGGACTGACATGCATGTACACGTGTATGTATATGGGTATATATGTATATATATATATATATATATATATATATATATATATATATATGCAAACCAAGACACCCCTTTCCCAGAACACGGGCCCTTTTCACGCATCACTTTTCAGAAGAACGCATTTCTGGATAAAATGTCCTATTTTCTGGCAACGAAGCCCTTCTCTGCATTTGGTAGCCATGTATGTGAGTTGGAAAGATCCTATTTTGGATCATGCATCATGCATGCCCTTCTATGCATCAGGAAGTCTTTTTCTAGCACAGGAAGCCATATTTTGCGACTTATTCTGGGATTTGAATGTTGATTGCTCTTTATGTGGATATTGCTACTTGCAACAATGTTTTAAGGGAGTACGTTTGCCCTGTGCCCCTTTCCACACCTTGAATGCAACGTTGCCCAGGAGGGCCCCCCCCCCCTCCCCCCTCCCCGGGGAGAAGGCTCCGTTTTGTCCTGGAGGCCCCCTGAAAATGCTCCCTTCCCAACTCAAAATCCGTGACGGCGCCACTGACAGCATATTGCCGAAAAGGCTACTACTCATAATTCAATTAAGCGAAAAAAGCTTTCAAATGCAGAAAAAGTTTAATGACACAAGAACAAGATCGAGTCCAGGGCCAGCAGATTCCGGCGGAGAAATATCAGACAAGACTATTGGAAAATGCATGGGTTCGATTCGTACCAATCGTCCACGCTCTCGTGCGCAAACAATGCTCCTACCCGCTTCAGGGTGTTTCTAAGGATTCACGTCAGATTTCAGCCAATCTGAAATGTGTCTGACCGAAAGTTGTGCCAGGAATCAAACGGTGAGTGGCATTCATCCCTTTTTTCTGAGCCGATCTTAACTATGTGACGCTGGGACATAAACAGAGAAAGTTGGAGGCATGTAAACTTCATACGCTCGCAGCCCATCTTGTTGTGCACGGTTAACATCTTAAAATAGTCGTACAAAAAATCCAGAAGCATTTCCGTGCTTTCAATCGCTAGTCTAAGTTACCGAAACCATACATCATTGCAAATTCATACGCGTCCTATCATATGTACATGAATGTCGTGGACTAAAATTCACGGGCTTGGCTGGATTCATAACAGGTCTTTTTCAAATAATGACACTTCGTGGATTGGTGCGGACAACCTGCATCTCTGACCCCCCTTGTTAAATTATCACGAAAAGTTGACTTTCCGACGCGTTGATACATTGGCAGCCATTCGCATCGGTCGCTGAAAGTGTCTGGCCGTATCAGGTTACTTTGTAGCGTTGTATACGTGACAAAGTCTGACCACTTTGCATCACGTATCGTCTTGCTCGCTTCACACCACTAGGAATGCCTTGCTACTTAATTCAATCCTCTCATGAGCACAATTTAGGCTGAGCCATTGTCGTGCTTCTAAATCAATGTGGAGCCTTAAAAGATTGGAATCACGGCTTGGAATGCTGGGATTTGGCGTGATCATCGTGTGTAACGGCCGATAAGCCGGCATTTGCAGCATCTGACAAAAGGCTGCTGGCTCAGACCGGTTTGGCAATGATGGACTGCGGAACAGGACTATTACCTGGTGTCTGCACTGAGCGCAGTGATAAGATTGGGCTCCAAGTTGACAGGAGGAAGCAAACGTGATCTGTGTTTGCTGCAGACACACGACCCCCTGAACCGGACATAAATACATATTGTTATGCGCAGTCGCTAACGTTGTGTGGAGGGAAGCCGGTGTGAAATCTTATGCCGTAGGTCGCTGATCAGAACTGGCTGGAGCGCGAAGTCATATAACTTCCACGCGAATTGGAAACAATGGACGCAAGTGACATGGCATGTGTGTGTGGAACATCATATCTCTTTGAACAGACACGACCCCCAATGATGAGCACCCCTCCCCCAATAACACGTCAACTGTGCCAATAAGACACTGGAGGTGGGGCCGAAAAATGCTTACATTCCCTTTCCCTTCTACATATGGGCTTCACCTGCATTTCAGTACTTTTACGAAGCTCACCACTGATGACACTTATTAAAATGTTCGCGGTGCTAAGCGAAAGTGGCGTGATCCGTGCAGCTCTGAAACTTCTTAAGCCATGCTTTCCTGGCTAATATGTGAATTTATGGTAAGATATGGATCTGGTTCGCTGGAATGTGTATGAAGAAAATATTGACTCATCCTTACGGTGGCAAAAATTGCATCTTTTACCACATGTGTTCGCTAAAGGAGTACGAAATATGCTATTTGGACTTGTGTTAACAATGTCATATTGTGTCGCACCGATATTTGAGCGCTGCAAGTTTAGCAGCCGGACGTCTTAAATATGATGTATCTCAGGCTGGCAAATTTGTTGATGCTATTGCCTTTAAAAATTATTTGGACTACATAGGGCTACTGCTTTCTGTGCCTAACGAGCAAAAAAATCATTTTGACAATATTGGGTTCGTGTACGAAATCTGTCATGCAGGCCTGAACCCAATCAAGAATGTTGGGCGGCCCTCGCCGTGCTGCTGTGATGAAGATACATTGTCACTTTACTGTCCTAAAAGCCCTTTACTTACGCCAGTGCTAAATTAAACGTCACGGCAGGTAACGCTTAGCACGACCATGTACTGGCAACGATACCCAACCATCAACTCTTCGTACCCACGAGCAAGCAAGACATCATAAATTGGCGAGTGCTGACGCTCGTAGCATATATAGGGCTTTTGGCAACAGCGTGGGATCCTTCTGAGCTCATGGACAAAGCCCAAGACCAATGAAGAGGGCCACAAGTGATGAAGAGCACCCGGCCTATTACCATGCAATGCCCCCGTTAACATAGGCCCTCCGAGAAAATGGGAAAACCCAAGACCAATGAGGATTGCACCCTGAGCGATAGACGGTGCCGCGACAGGTCACCCCCCCCCCCCCTCCCACTGTCAACAGCGAAGGGCCTTCAGAAGAAACAAGAAGTACCCAAGACCAATGTGGTGGTCCCCTGAACGACCAAGAGTGCCAGAGGTTCACGTATGGGTCTGTCTGTCAGAGCGCTGGGCCCTTCGAACAAACAGAACTAATCCAAAAACGGTGTATCGAGCCCCTGAACCACTGAGCTCCTGGGCCCTTGGGCGACCGAGAGCGCCCGGGCGGGAAAACAGCATAGGCCCCCAACAGAAAAGTAGGGTTCTCGAAGAGTTCTGGACCAATGCAGAGGGTCCCTGAGCGTTGCGAGCGTCTCGTCGGGTTTGCTTACAGGTCTCTGGTGTCATCGCAAGGCCGGCACGTGGGAAAAGCCCTTGAGCAATGATAAAGGGAGTGCTCCACATTCGTATGGGATTTTAAACTGGAATAGCCGTCTCGAAGATCGTGCGCCACAGTTCACAGCCCTGCCCTTCTCAAAACCTAAGCCCTTCCAGTTTCTGAGCTACATGCCCGCGAAGATGTGCAAGGTTTGTCAGGGACACTATTTCAGGGTTACCCAGTCATACGTGAAGCCATAAAGACGTCCTTCAAATCTTGCCGTTTAATTGGCCATGCGACGATCAAGGCCAAGAAATTTAGAATTGTGGAGTCGCTCATATCTGGCATTCGTGAGCACGATTTCCAGCCATAACGCCCGTCAATTGGCTCCCATTCAATGTTGTGCAAGGTACGATGACGTAATCATTCAACGACGCACTGAGGAGCAGTTTTACTAAACAGAGCAACTGTTGTCTGGAGTAGCCTTTTCCACTTAAAAAGCGTACAACTAATTATAGGTGAGCTTGTTTCATCCCATCTGATGCTTGTTTTTAATTTCTTCAAATGGGGAACATTCCCCTCGAGAGCCGGCAGTCTCGGCGAGCCTGGACTGCTGCCTGTTCATTTCTCACGGTCAGCTGCTGGCCGGCACGCTCCTCACGTGCCACGTCTGATCAGCATCGCTGCCGAAACCTGCGAGTGGCACGCGAGCCGCTGTCCTCGGGCCCGTCTCCGACCGTGGGAGTGTGCCGGCGGTGCTCGACACGGGTGGGATGTGCCGCCGACACCGTTAGCTACCGCCGGCCTGCTGATGAGGCTCGAGCGCCGGATTAGCATGCGGTACGGTGGGGCGCGCCCCGCCGTCGGCGGTCCAGGGAATACGCCACCTGTCTGGCCCGGCGGCCCGCCCATCAGACGGACCCAGGCTGCCGATCCACGCGGCGTTGGACGGCGCGGGATTCCGAGAAGGTCGCCGTCTGTTCGGTCGCGAGGCGAAAATGAAAGCCGTCGAGGTGTTAATGGTCTACGGAGGTCAATGCCATCCTCTAAAATAACAGCTTTGGCGTTTGGTACCTTTGGGTGTTTGAGTGATGTCATGGGTGATAAACATCTCGGTCTTTGAGTGCAACTGTCAGCAATACTGTATTGAATAATCGATTTGGAGTGGGTAGAACCTAAAATTCAGGCGTAAAACGTAACGCACGCTCGCGCATTAAGATTAATTTAAAAACGCGCAATGTATATGTCTGCTCGTGATTTTATGCTTGTGCACATACAAAATAGTAACACAACTGGTAATGACAAAGTGTGTTGACGCTTTGCAGTGACCACCGTAATGGTGCTGTCTTTTGGTGTGACCAGCTACATCCTGATCGGAAGTGATGCCAAGTCGAACGTTGTACACAACCTGGAGCCCGGCAGGCTTCTGCTTGCCATACAGGTCGGTGCATATGCAGTGCAACCATAGTACAGCGCGTATCGCTTCATTCAGGTGTTATTACGGGCACGTGGCTAGGAATTTCCGCTAAGCGTCTCCACAGACTTGAGAGCATCGCATTACATAACAAGGATGACATGGTTGTGCGGTTTCCTCATTCCTGGCATGTCTCTACTGCCGGTCTGAAGCGCATACGAAGCATAACAGCTTCATGATACTTGCTGAACACCTTCTCAAGGTGAGCAGACGCCTGAGTGTGATTAGAGTTATCACCACGTGCACGGCCGAGGTTAGCGGCGTCTGATTCTGTGGTGATGGCTGGTAAATAAAGACCGCACGCCGTTCGATTATTTAATATTTTCGTTGGCGCCGCCGGATGTTATAGCATGTTCTCCCCTCCACAGATACTTATGCTCACGCATGTTCTCACCAGCTTTGTCCTGTACATCAATCCCCTGTATCAAGAGCTTGAAGAAAAACTCAGCATACCCGAAGGCAAGTTGGTTGTTCCCCGAAAATGGCCATTGCAATTTGCCTTTTACTAGGACAACGCACACCAGGACATTGCAGCAGGTCCTGAAGCACGCGACCAGTGAGACTGAACACATGTAGCTCACAGATCATGTGTCTAGCAGTGCACCGTGGTCGAATATCATTGATTCGCCAGATGCTCCATGCGCATGCGCGAGACGACTGCACGTCGGCCGTCAAAGCTGGTCCGATCTTTTCCACCGCAATCGGAGGCTTAGTCCGCGGAGAGATCGGCGATGTAATGCTCCGCCTTTGCAAGGTGGATATAATTAGAAATGTAATTGATTCATGTAGCAGTGGTTGTAGAATAATCCTCCCCAAACAGAAAACCACGGAGCGGTATAACACTCCCACCCAGTCAGCAGTGGCGCAGGCAGGGGGCACAGGGGACACGTGGCTGCCCCCAGGTTCTGAGAGACCCTTCAGGCCACCGGAGACCGACGATGAAGGGACCCATTTTAGCGCTCGAGGGGCCGGCGACAGGCCGGCGAAGGTCGCATTAATTGTCCACGGCGCGCTGGGCCGGGCACTCCATTGCCAGCCAGAGGGCCGTTTGCGCCGGCCGTCATCGTTTTTAAACCTTTTCAACCTACTCCATTTAACATTAATTAATGAGAACCCTTACTTTCCGATTGCCAGGCGCCCTTAACTAGAATACCAGGGGATACATCATCGTCCCCGGTCAAGCCCTGAAGAACCATTCCGTCCCAGCGCGGTATGCCTGCCGGCTGCCATTCTAGCGACACGCGGTAGGGTTCCTTGTTCGATCCGGGGGCCCTAATAATGATCACACATCACGTTGTTCCCCTGCCTGACATGGAAAGCCTCGTGACTCGAGCAGTTGGACCCATATCGGCACAGAAATCCTCATTGAGGCAGCAACATCCTGATCGCCGTGGGTGGTCCAGTAGTTGACACGGATTTCAGTTCTGCTTAACCGCCAATAGCTGCAATTGGAATGATGGGCCCTGACTGGCACAGGTCTCTTCCATGATCTCATCATCATCATCATCATCAATATAAGTTCTCAGGTTTTCTTTCATTGACAGAGGGCTCCAGTCAACGCAAGATGCGCGCTGACATTTGGGGTCCTGTCCACGTCCCTGTTCAGCAAATATTTCCCTGACCGACTCGAGGTCCCTTGTTGACACCGGACACTGTGTCAGGTACTGCGGGCTCCTGGTCGACGCAGCATTATTGCAGCAGCTTCGACCAATGCAGGTCGCGGACCGCGGTCATGTTCCTGTTTGGGATATGGTTCCCCGGGGTTCAAACCGGCACGGCTCTCAGGGGTCCCCGATCGGTGCAAAGGCCCCGCAGATTGTCATCTAAGTGCTCGTCTCCGCAGCCCGCGGCCTCTGAAGAAAACTCCGCCCATCTCTTTTTGCCCTCAGACCCTCCAATCGGGCCCTTGATCATTGGCACCGGTGGGCCCTCCAGGCTCTCTTCAGGCCTCCTCGAACACTGCTTCTGGCCAAATCGGGCTGCTTGCCAACAAGGTTAGGCACTGTGGCCCCTGACAGACGCTGGGATCCCAACCAATATAAATCGCTGGTTCCGGCTTTGTCCCTGCTTGGAAAATTGGCCCTCAAGCCCATACCGACACGTAGCCGACTGTTCGGTACTGGTGGTGTCTGGACGACACATGGGTTTTTGTCGTGTTTGCCTGAGAACCTTACACGTGTTTGTCTGAGAACGTGCATTCTTTTGCAGAGTCGACGAGTGTAACAAATAACATCAAAAAGTGTTTAGCCTGCGCGCTCGCAGTCTCAGGAGCAGGAATAGTGATGGCCGGGTTTGCAGTTTCCGTAGAACCGAAAACGTAAAACCGAGTCAAACTGCGAGCAACACCAGGCGGCGGGCGCAGTGCACGCGAGAAAGACTGTCGTGAAATAATGCTTCTGAAAGTCGTTCAATGTGGACCGTGCCGCTCAAAGTTTAGACTGGGTCGTATCCCTTTTTGCCATTTTGATGTTGTTCTTTAGACAGATCATTCGTCGCAGCCCTATGACGAATCAAGATTCACCTTTACTCTTCCTGCTCCACCATCAGATTGTCGTGCTCCCATTCGTCACCGCTTAGTTTTAACCACGGGACCGACGATTGTTCTGGCTGATCGATTCCGACTGAATGTTGAACAGATCCAGGCAAACATGGGTTGCCCATGTCAACACAAATTTTTGACCCATTTTGATGCATAATCTACCTTCACGTCCTCAATATCTATGTAGAACCCAGGTCAAAATGTCGGCAAAGCTTTTGAGTTTTGTCGATTTAGAAAAAAATACAATGAAACACTGCAAAATGAAGCGATTTACGCGCTGAAGCCGTTTACCTCTGGTTTCTTTAGTTGATTGGTTTCAAAATTCAAACAGATCAATGGGATGAAACAAAGAAAAGTCGTGCCCCCCCCCCCCCATTAACATATGGGCCATATTCGGCGATTTCATATTGGAGATGGAGGGGGGGGGGGTCTCATTCGAAGACCCTTTCTTAAACATGTGCCTCCCTCGCCAAGGCTCTGGCTGCGCCTCTGTCAGTCACACAGCGCCGGTCACGCAGCGCGCTGAGTGCCTGGGCGTGACTGGCTACTCGTGATCGGCTGTACGGGGATGTCATGTCATCAAGCCAGCCCCAATACGGACATGCAACGCTGCCGTCCTAAGGACGGAAACCTAAAAAGGTGGATGGACACACCGGGAAAAACAAATGTTTGGTTATTACTCACGAGACTGGACGCCACTTGTTATACAAATCATCCACAGAATGTGCCCCACCACGTACATCTCTGCAAAGTGCGCTCACGTCACCAAAACTAGGACATTCGGTTTTCGCAAAATTAGATTGCGCGGACAGCGATAAGAAGGCGGCATTATTATCAAACATCTGCTTACGAGAGTTGGCTTCTTTTTAAAACACAGATCATGATGGTGCGCATCGGCGTTCACGTCAGCGAGGGTCGAGACCGCGTCACACGACCTCGGCTCACACTCATGGCGAGTGGGCCAAACCGGGACCGGGCTCGCCGAGCGTCACGTCCGCTCACCGCAAGCGTGTTTCGCCACACGCGCGGACCAGCAGCCGGCCGCCGCTCCCTCTCAGCGGCGGCGTGCCTCTGCGCGCAGGCAGCTGGCGGCAGTACTCGTTCCGAGCGCTCTGCATGGGACTGCTGGTGCTGGTGAGCGAGGCGCTGCCCGACTTCGGCCACGTGCTCGACATCATCTCGGTGCTGGCCATCACTATCACGCTGGTGCTGCCGCCTCTGCTGTACCTGCGGCTCGCCGGCCTGCCGCGTGTGGACCTGTGAGCGCAAACGGACAGACTGTGCTGCCACCTGTGTGGTGGGCGGAGCACCAAACTGCTCTTATCTGCCGGATTTGCTGTCATGTTCTGTTAACACGCGCCCGGGCTGCATACCCTTCGCTCGGGTGGGGTCAATTTGACCCCTGAGATCTCAGGAACTAAGAGAACTGGAGACACCAAGTTCACAGGGTGGGTTGGCCCATATGTGAAGCCACTTAGGGCAAAGTTTGAGGTTCCTAGGTCACGACCTTCGGGTTAAATAAGGTCAAGCAAGGTCAAACTCCAGGCTGGTCTCCAAAGCACCCCCAGAACCTAGAAACCTGTTCTAAGCAAAAGGTCTCACGATCCTTTAAAATCAGTGGTCCTTCTTATATTTCGAAGGTCATAATGACCAAAACCATAGCCGCTGTTTTGAGTTTTGCTTTTCAATAAGCGACAGACATTACGTAAGGCAGTATATTCCTGAAAAAACAAAATGTTGACCTGGGTCACTTTAGGCCAGTAACCCATTCTGACCTTCGGTAAGTCCATGGAAGATGTATAACGCGGTTCCTTTTATCAATAAATTCAAACTAGGCACCAGAAACTACGCTAACGAGCAAACTCTAGAGTAACAAAACGGGTTGGTTTTGACCTTGGTCTGGCCTTCATACCTGATCCTAGGTCAGTGGACTTTGGTCATCCAATTGTTATGTTGCCTAAGAAAGTATCTCAGAGATGTATAGCTAGAATAACAAAACGGGTTGGTTTTGACCTTGGTCTGGCCTTCATACCAGATCCTAGGTCAGTGGACTTTGGTCATCCAATTGTTATGTTGCCTAAGAAATTATCTCAGAGATGTATAGCTTCGTCTAACACTCCGCTGTTGCATCAGATCGAATGATTCCCTAGAAATTGACTACGCTAAATCCATGACCTGAATTTGACTTGCCGTACGCTACCGGCCTTACAAGAAACATCTGCATTTTTATGCTAGCATTTTGATTATGTGTACTTGTCGATCTGGACAAGTGAATTGCGGACATTTACTCATGTGCTCATAAATGCATTACAGGTTCATGGCTAGGATTAGTACGTACGGCGCCCCCCCCCCCCCCCCCCTACCCGAATGCGCGCATGCCCACGACTGCGTTTTCTTCCTTTCAGAAAGCTGCGAGCCCTGGAGAAAGCATTCCTGGTGTTCCTGGTGGTGACAGGCCTGGTGTGCGCACTTGTTGCCGGTTTCGGTACAACTTCATTCGTGTTTGTCGAGCAGCAGCAGGGATCCTGTTTCCAACCACGCCATCTATCGGCTTCAAATATAACTGGAACCACTACACCAGCCAGCAGAGCTATCATCTTCAAGCAAATACTAACCTTTAAGCCCGCGACTATTGCTTAGAAAAGCCGACGCTTTCGTCTCTCGGCGACCTTACAAGCCCATTTTATTTCAAAGAAACTGAGATGCGAAGAAACCTTTCAAAGAAGGATGCTTGAAATGAGTTGCGCTGCACGTACGCCAAAAAACAGCAATACATTCCAAGGACGCTACGTTCTGCAAAGCACGCTTGATTTCGGTGCAACCATTCATGATTTTGACCCCCTAGGTGATGGAAAAACATCACTTGTATCAACCAGGCCCTTCTCTTTGCTGACTCTGCAGTCATTCTAAGCGACGTATGCTGACCTTATAGTCCATTGATGCTGTGTACGAATCACAGAGCAGTCATGCAGTCTCGCCTGGCTGACATGGACAAGTCAGCTGTCAAGTGGCCAAATGACGTCATTCTGGGTCAGAGGTCGTGTCGTAGTATTGTATGTAAAAACGCCACAGCAGGTAACAGATATGTCACGTTTTAGAACCGGTTGGGGGGGGGGGGAGGGCGCAGTCGAAGAGGTTAACCCAATCTCCACAAAACCTGATTTTTGCCAGATTTTGGTCAGTGAATTAGCGTCCTAGGTGTTGCATAAAACTATCTTTTTAAAAATGCTTTGTTGGCTCGGAATTGTTTTCCTCTGGAGGAATGGGTTCCCATTTCAAGTAATGTGAACTGCCTTTTTGTAAAAATCCTAGAATTCGATGCAATCCACAGAGAAAGACGTCTTAATCAATTGTAATAAGGAATCGCTGGCGACCACCGCGCCGTAACTGATCATTTTGTATGACCACCACAGCCACGATTATACGATAAATACACGGTACACTGTACAAATACACATGCCACTATTGGGAAAACACGCGCTAACCTTTAGCTGAGATACCCTGCGCTTTTCAAAGCTGCTGCATGTTGCAGCCAAATGTTCTTAATCCCAATCCGGGCGATGTCATCGGAAAATCTTATGAAACATTTGTAGACCGGCTTACCACATGAAGGAGTCGGCATGACAAAAAAATAGGTGCCTAAAAGATAATATTTGGTGCAAAATTGACATGATGCTAATGGCGATGCTTTACGTGCTTACTACCATATAGTATAGCAATAGTTAAAATAATCGTTCTGTATTTACTTGGCACAATACTCCCTCTTTGGTGATGTGCATTGGGGGACTCAAATCGGCATTGAGAGGGTGGGGCTCAGCCCCCCCCCCCCCAAGAGTATATAAGCGACGCCCCTGATTCGCGGTTCCGTGTGGCAGATTAGAGCCAAGGGTACCAATGAACTGGATCAACGCGTCTCGAGTGGTGCGATCAAGGTGCACGCAACAAGCTCTCCTTAGCTAGAACTCTCAACCCAAAGCCATCCATGGAATATATTCAAAATAAATAAAACAAAAGTCGACTTTAGTTGTGAAATTTCCATTGGATGAGCAGCAAAATGACTTAGCGTTCGCATGCGCACATGAAACTGATCGGTGTTCTCTAGTGGAAGTACCTTGCTTACATCCTTTTTGACACCGAGCAATAAAATGCGATATGCTGTGAGATGTACGGCATGCATTTTGTTTATAAAACTGGTGACATATCTGATGGTCTTACAGATCGGTAACGCATTTTTAGCGGTCGAACATTAAAGACAGCAGCAAGGGTGAAGTTTCCTGTCCTGGCGGAAGCTCAGGCCGTCAACTTTGAGAAGGAAGTGGGCCAAAGCCGATGAGAAACACTTTTTGTATATTTTTGGGATATCTTTGGTTGGGTTGGCATCTTTTGGGGCCGGCTGTGACTTTTTTCTCAGTACTCAGGCACCAACTAATGTTGTAAAACTGCGCCCCTGGATGGGAGCTAGATACGCAACTTTCTCCAAGATAAATAATATCGTGGAACCATCAAAACGTCCAAGACTGCAGCGTCCGGTGTTCATATCACTCAAGATCGCGACGTCCAGTGTTCATAACTCTGGACATTTCAATACGCATCCAAAATATCATCCCACAGTCCAGCCCACCTCACTCACTCAGTGATCCAGCCCGCAAAAACCCGGCTCAAGATCTCCATTGGGAGCCCTTAGACAGACTCTTCTCGGTGGTTTTACCGGCCGCACGACGCCATGGAAGTTCGATATCGACCAAAATCGTGCGTAAGTTCCCTACTAAAAAAACAAAAATGTTTTCGTACTGATGACAGACTTTAGACTATAGTCGCCACCCCAGTTACAGACACGTCCGCCAAAACAGGAACGCAAGTCCACCTCTCAGCAAGTTTGGTTTCCATGTGACCTGACGGATGCCTTCAGTCTTGGCTAAGAGTCACACAATGGGACAATGCAGAGTAACTACGATGCCGAACGCAAGCCCGGCCCGCAGGGACGCATCCTCCGGGCGCATGGATCACAATGAAATCTGAAGCCTACTATTCCCATTCAAGGCTTACAGGCCCCGTGTTAAAACTTATGGACATAAGAAATGGAGCTCGACCTTACAATGAGGCATCAACGACCCCTTTAACCAGGAATGAGTAAAGACTCATTCATGCAGGAAATGTAAACTCACTCATGCAGATTCATTCATTTCCGAATGCAAATACTCATTCCACCACACCCACAGTGGGCCTAGCAGTGCAGCTTCCGTTCGTGTCCCTCAATAAATGCTAGCCCGTACGGACAGAACATGTTCACCCGCATCCAGGCCCCGGCTCTCCACGAGCGCTTGCCGTCTGCAGTAGACGGAAGACTGCACCTGAACCATCCGTGCATCCGCACAGGCAGGTGGCCGACTTCAGGCGCACTGTCAGGGCAGCCGACAGACGTGGGTACACACCGCGGCGCGAACAGATGGCCCACCCGGACCAGGAGCAGCACAACTTCCCAGCCGGGCAGCGCAGGGTTTTAGTGGGCCAGCGGGTCTGTTGGCTACCGCGCTCTTGGCGGACATGACTATGAGTTCGAGATCCTGACTTCGAGTCCAGGTCCACACACTGGTGTCTTTTGCTACAGTTCGAGTTTCAAGTTAGCCGTTGTCACTCTACACGAGCCGGAGGCCGAGTTCGAGTTTAATCTTTTTCACGGCCCATTTATAACCAAGTCGGGGTTCGATTCCATGTAGATTTTGTTGGAGTCTACCTGTTGCGCTTCGCAACGCGTGTGACATCATTAGCCGCATGACTGATGTCAACTTAAACGGCACCTCCTGGCGTATATCGCTGTCAGAGGCTGCCTTGGGGCGAGGCTGTGCATAATGTCTCGGGGCCCGTGAGTTTAATCGAGAAAAAATCTGACACCAACCGATAGCCGTGGCCAGCGTGTGATCCAGGAATGAATCTTTCGCACGTGTTCCGTAGCTATAACAAGATAATATGCAAACTGCCTTAAAACAAGCAAAAATTCGGTACCCTTTTGGACAGAGTTCAAGACCTCCAACCCACGTGATCGGGCGTAGTCAGACAAACCCGGACATGAACGTGACGAAGGGCCTATTGCTGGAAAGATTAAAAACATGCGCAAAAAATATCAACACGAGGCACGCCGTGCTGTTCAATCAACAGGGTATTTGTTAAAACTGGAGCGTAAAACTTGAGCAGCCTAGGCGTATTCGGTACAACCTTCTACTTGAATATATATATATATATATATATATATATATGTTTGTATTACATGTAATATATATATATATATATATATATATACACATCTACACACACACATATATATATATATATATATATATACATATACACAAATGCATACAGAATCTAGAATGCAGAAAGTTGCAAAGTGCTGGAAGTAAGCGCTGCAGCAGAGCCACTGTTGTAGTAGCGCGGGAGAACGGGATCGGAGGACGAAGCAGAACAAGGCGCCACCGATCAAGGACGGTCCACTTCGAGAAGTCCGAACCCATCCGACCCGTCCGACCCCCGGGGCGGGACGGGAGAGGGTGGAGTTCTGTACCGCTCCTGAGTTGTCTCTTCTGACCCGAGCTGTCCCTGTGTGCTGGGACAGGACAGGAGCCCCGTGCCGTGCCTACCGCCACGTAGGGTGTGCCAATATCCCAGGGCATTACGTCATCGCTAGCGGATCGCACTTGCTGATTAGCCCCCGTCTGATTTATGCCCACGAAAGCGCGCACACAGATGCAGGGCAGGTTATAGATACTTGGAAGTAGCAGTGCGCCGTTATTGATTGGTGGGGTGCTCTTCACAGATCCATTAAACCGGTCATCGCACCTGTGCCGGTTTATTGATTCACCTGCAGCTGCATCTGTGCAGGCTCCCACCGTCAAAAGGTCGGCTCAGATAGTTTTCGGGGTCGCCAAAAATTTCAAAACAAAACCGCAACCGATGACATGGTCAGGAAAATCGCCAAGTCAAAGTTTTGCGTTAAAGTACAGTCTAAAAGCCATGGAAATTCAATACAGCGAAAGCTTTCAGCAGTTCTTCAGAGCAAAAGCCTCTTATACACAATTACAAACGAGAGTTTCCTAAACTACTAGGTTTTCATTGTGGTCATGGCTCTGGAGCCTTCTGGAAATGCTTGCGCAAAGTAAAGTCGTAGCTCTTAGTGCACGCTCGGATGAGGAGAGGGCCAGTTTGGGTCCCCGAAAGTTTTTCCAAAACTTTTTTTGAACGGTGCAGCGAAGCCGCACCAAACTTTGTCTTTCTGTGGACAATTAAATAGCCAATATTTCCGTATATCAAGCTGGAAATGCCTCGCAACTTGATTGACCTAAGGCAGGTCAAAGTCAAGTGAAGGCTGTCGACGAAGGCAATTCATATATAATCGCTCAGTAGAATGTGACCGGGTAGAATTAAACGAAGCCATACATCTGAGACGGATTTTAGACGATGCGGCTACGAGCACTGGGTTTGAGCAATTTCACTGACCCTGGGCAGGTATGGAGGTCATATCAACATCACAGCTAGACCGATTTACTACTGGAATACTTGCGCGATGGAATAGCTCTTGGCGCTTCTTTCTAATTCATGGATCACAACGACGTCAGAATAGTTCTTATTTTGGCCACATGAAGACCAGGGAAGGTCACTGACCTAAAGTGAACTCATGGCCAGCCGAACGCGTGCTGCAATGTCGTAGTTACAGATGGCGCCGTGATGCAGTGGGCGCCGGCAGTAGTGACGTAAGGGCCACCGGCAGCAATAACGTCAGCACCGCCGGAAAGCAGTAACGTCAGGGCCGCCAGCATCAATGACATCAGGGCCGCCGGCAGCGGTGACGTCAGGGCCGCCGGCAGCAGTGACGTCAGGGCCGCCGGCAGCAATGACATCAGGGCTGCCGGCAGCAGTGACATCGGGCCGGCCGCAGCAATGACGTCAGGGCCGCCGCAGCAGTGACGTCAGGGCCGCCGGCAGCAATGACGTCAGGGCCGCCGGCAGCAGTGACGTCAGGGCCGCCGGCAGCAATGACGTCAGGGCCGCCGGCAGCAGTGACGTCAGGGCCGCCGGCAG